GAGGAGGAATGCTGCCTATGACCCCAAGAACACCATCTCCACCGTCAAACATGGAGGTGGAAACATTATGCTTTGGGGGTGTTTTTCTGCTAAGGGGACAGGACAACTTCACCGCAACAATGGGACGATGGACGGGGCCATGTACCGTCAAATCTTGAGAGAACCTCCTTCCCTCAGCTAGGGCATTGAAAATGGGCCGTGGATGGGTATTCCAGCATGACAATGACCCAAAACACACGACCAAGGCAACATAGGAGTGGCTCAAGAAGAAGCACATTAAGGTCCTGGAGTGGCCTAGCCAGTCTCCAGACCTTGATCCCATAGAACATCTGTGGAGGGAGCTGAAGGTTCGAGTTGCCAAACGTCAGCCTCGAAACCTTAATGACTTGGAGAAGATCTGCAAAGAGGAGTGGGACAAAATCCCTCCTGAGATGTGTGCAAACCTGGCGGCCAACTACAAGAAACGTCTGACCTCTGTGATTGCCAACAAGGGTTTTGCCACCAAGTACTAAGTCATGTTTTGCAGAAGGGTCAAATACTTATTTCCCTCATTAAAATGCAAATCAATTCATAACATTTTTGACATGCGTTTTTCTGTATTTTGTTGTTGTTATTCTGGTCTCTCACTGTTCAAATAAACCTACCATTAAAATTATAGACTGATCATTTCTTTGTCAGTGGGCAAACGTACAAAATCAGCAGGGGATTAAATACTTTTTTCCCTCACTGTATACAGCTCAGTGGGCCATACCTGGTGAAATAAATATTGTTTTAAACAGTTATTTTTTAAGAGACCCAAGGACTAACACACACATTGATGCCTAGACTTACTTAGCCAAACTTACATAGGCTTGCATATAAACCTGTACGCTTGTATGTTCGTCATAGACTTGGCAAATTGCGAGAATTGGCAATCGCCTGATGACGCTGGTTTTAATCACCAGCGAAACGTCGTTGACTCAAATAGTAAATGTGGATTTACATTCCAAAACACCGGTGTGCTGAAGTAATAACTACTGTAATTATCAAATTTTGTTCACGTGATGAACCTTACCGATTGGCTGTGTCGGGTGAGGGCAAGTTTACGACACGCCCACAATTATGCAATCTAACCCATAAAACATTTTTTTATGAATAATAATAAATAAAAATCCTCGATGCTCCCTTGATTGCTTCTGGCCTGCACCAGTGGCATATCCACAGCCCTTAGAATTTCATCTTGTGTCTCCTGTCAACACATGCAGAAGAAAAACACTAAAGTGTAGGGCTCCCTTCTCAGGGATATTAGCATTAACACCTACCAAGGTTCTAATTTATTAATTTACCCTCCCCTTTCCCTCGGAGATTTTCCCAGCATCCCACATTTACTTGAAACCTGTCAAATAAATACAGCTCTCTCTCTCTCGCATTGCTGACTGATTAAGGATGGTGATGTCTGCAAGGAATAGGAGGCCCATTAAAGCTTAAAATGGCCATGCTGTGTCCACGAGGCAAGGGAATGGGTTTTGCAATTAACCCAGGTTGCCCACTGCAGCCCCTTGAGCTGACAGTCTGCATGCAAAATGAGCTTCTGGATGTGTCATGCCAAGGTGGCGGTGGGGGGTGTGGAAGGCGGGGGGGGGGTCGTTGTTTTGGACCAAGTGGTTCACTGGCTGTGTCTTCACCAAGGAGGAAGTAACAGAGAACAGTTCAATTCTCTCATACTCTTTGTTTTTTTCGGTAAAGCCACGTAGGTAAAATAACAATAAAATAAAACAATTAAATCACGACGTTTCACTTGATGCAGCGATCTTGCTGTGACTCTTCCACCTGAAGACAGAAGCTTGTGTTGCCTCCGAAACGTCGTGATTTAATTGTTTTCTTTTATTTTTATTTTACCTACGTGACTTTACCGAAAAAAAAACAAAGAGTATGAATCATTGCAGTCACGAAAGCTTCAAATCTAGAGTTCATTCTCTCTCCGGTTGTGTTTTTTTTGTTGTACGTTGGGATTGTGCCGCGTGTCGTTCGGCCAAGTTGTCTGGCGTGCGTCGCTCCGCGTGCACGAGACGCTTCTTCGGTTACTGCATTCAGGCTCAAGCCTGCTTGGCTTCTGAGACGTGACAAAGGAGTGTGGGGGCGCACGCCGGGTGATTTCATCAGGGGCACGTTTTGTCATTTTTCAAGTGACCTTTACCCCCCACCCCCTCCGTCGCCCCCCACCCCACCCCCCTCTAGCACCGGTTACATTTTGCGTGATGTAATATTTATTTGCCGAGTAGCACGCGCGCGTGCGTTTATTTATAGCACTTAACAACAACACAAAAAAACATGGCCATCGTGACAAGGGTTGTTTGTGTGAAACTTCACACGCCGCCGTGATGTGATGACATTTTTTTTTGGTGGTTGTTGTTGTGGACGACTGCCTAAAGAACGAGGAAGCAGCAAACCGGTCGTCATTTTCACTGCAGGGCAGCCCGCGCTGTGACGCTCACTCCCACAAAACACAACGCTCACCTCAAAGCACAGGCCCTCCAACATGCTGGCACAAAAAAACGTGAAAAGTAAGAGTGTAAAGAAAACGTCGTGGACTTTTTATTCGTAATGTGTGCTAACGCAAATGGGCTCTGGCACCTGGGGGAAAGGTAGCCACCCCCCCCCCCGCTCCCCGTTAACACGAGAACGTGCGGCAGGTGCGCTCCATTGGCGCGTGTCCATTAGACTGCAGGGGTTCGCAACCCCCGGGCCAGGGACCGGTACCGGTCCGTGGCCTGTTAGGAACCGGGCCGCACAGCAGGAGGTGAGAGCGGTGAGTCCACGCGTGGGCCGCCCCCATTATTTTATTATTTATCACTTCTGTCCGCGCGCTCTTTCCCGCACCGCCGACTTGTCTCAGTCACGTGGTGTTGGTAAGCCCACAAGCTAACCCCGAGCCAAAATGAGTAACAAAAAAACAAACATCGCTGGAGAGCTTCTTTGAAAAGGGGGAAAGACCCAATGATGAACCCCCCCCCCCCCCGGTCCGTGAAAAGATTGTCTTCCACGAAACCGGTCCCTGGTGCCAAAAAGGTTGGGGACCGCTGCATTCGAGGACGGCACGAGGCGGGGGGGGGCACACATAGCCGTCAACCCCTTATACAGTGTCCTAGCTTATCACAGACCAATTCACACCTTATTGGTCACGACGTGCCCGTATGAGTCACAAAGTTCGTCCTACAAAGTCCCATCACAAGGGAGAGACACAAACACTTTTTTTGCCCGTATTGAAACGGCTGTCCGCCGTATGCGCCTGAAAACTCATTTTCCCTGTACAAGAATATGGGGTTGACAGCTAGTGGGGGAATTGCTCTGGTAGCGTGCCCAGGCACGAGTCCACGGATTCACAACAACAAGCGCCATTCGCCACTAAGTGGCGGTGACATCACCACGGCGCTTGTGCCAGGCTATGTGCACGTTAATGCCACGTGAAGTGTCGAACGCCCGCTGGCAGGAGTTCACGGGGCAGACCCAGGTGCCACGCGTCGACTGACTGAGACGACTGACCGATGCACCACCTGTGCCCCCTACTGTGCCAACTTGCTGTGTTTTAGCCACCCGGCGCTCCGCTCGTTGTTGTGAGCGACGCTCATCTGCCCTCCGTTGTTGCTGGAGGGCGACTGCCTCCAACTGCCCAGCAGCGTCCTTCACGAGCCTCCTCCACAGAGGCCGATCTTGACACCGCTGGTACCAGTCATCGCAAAGTCTACTCAGCTCTATATCCTTTGGTACCACATGGACTCACATCCCCACCACCCTACCAGGCGCCCCTCCCCCTCCCTTTGCGAGAGACCCCCACATCGGCATTTACATTTAGACACAAAATCGCGCGCGCACGTTCCTTGCCAATTTGCCTTTTTTTCTGATCTCAAAAAACCCCACATGCCATTCATCACACGAATGGATAAATTACTTTCTGCGTTCAAGTGGGTGTGTGTGGGGGAGTCGGGGGGCAAATGGGGGGGGGCTAACATTTTAATACATAGACACAACACAAAGACAGAAGTCAAATATCTCCCACAGAGCCTTTCACAGACGCTCATAGTCGATTGTTTTTTTTTGCGTCAGAACGCGCGACTAAAATGTGTCGTAAACCTTCCCTCCACCCCCCGACACAGCCATCTAATTAAAGTTTCCACGTGGATACACGTGGCCAGTTTATTCAGCACACCGGTGTGTCCGAGAGCCAATCCACGCACATGCAATAATTGGGTACGGCCGTTTCGCTGGTAGTTGCAACCAGCAAGTACTGTTAGCGAGCACCGACGAAGGCAGGCACGGAACCAGAGGGGGTGGGGTGGCCAGCACCATCCTCGACCGCCTTTGTCTCCCACGGCGATGTTGAGGCTGAGTCGACCTAGCGGGAGGCCCAGGACCGTTTCAGATAATCGTTACTGATGCTGGCCGTGAGCGGAAATCGAACTCTGGTCGCTGGGTTCGTGGTGCAGCGCGCTAACCCACTACACCACCGCTCCCCGCAATCGAGCACATACAGACACATGCATACACACATAAAAACAAACCGTACACAGACACACTAGGAGAGTCACGACTGCGGTTTACACAGCATTCTATTTCCTAGCAAGCTAGGTTCAACTCCTGCTCATTCACAACAACCGTGATAAAGTGGTACCTGGGCTGGACCTCTCGCAGGTCAATTCGGCCTTAAATAATGAACACCAGGTCGCGGCATGTGAATGGCGGCTTGGGGAGACAAAGGCGGCTGTGCAAGTGCTGCACTGACCACACCGTTGCCCTGGAGAAACTATGGGCTTCTCGCTAACAGCAGTCGCCCCCGGCAGTCTTTACGGCTAATCCAGGAAACACTCTGTGGGTAGTGTTTAATTCTTGGCTTGATTTTCTATTCAAGAATCCAGCTGATAGTAAATATACAACAAAAAATGCATTTCTGGGATACAGAAATGCATTTATCCTGCCAAGGTCATGCGCGTTGCCGTACGACGCTTTAATGACATGACAGCAAACGCTTTTGAATCCAGAACTTTATTACAATACAAAAAAAAACCCAGCTTGGCTCATACACATTACAGGGTGTGTGGGCTACAACACTGCGGTGTAAGGCTGACTTGTATAACCGAACAGCATACATATATAACCTTTGTCATAAAAAAAATTAGCTCTTGTTTAAACAGATCCACGCGATAACTCACACGCGCGCGCACCAAATGCATTGAGTGGTAAGAGTGGACACTGGAATTGTGGTCACATTGGCGGCATGCAGGACAGGAGCATCGCCCTTGCCCACACGCGCGGTGCGGTGTAGAGCCTAGCGCAGAGCGCCACACTCTGCTTCGTCAGGAAAAAAAAATAACGTTCAGTGAGCTGCTCCGAAAACGTTCAACTAGAAGAGAATTGTGTGTTTGGCTTTCGCACCAAAAGTTGAGGGGTCATCCCAGCCGGACTTTTCTTTTTGTATTTGCGGCCATACATAGCCTATGTGGCACACACGCACGCTTTTGTATGGAGATGCGAATGCTTTTGGGACCGAGTGGATAGACACAGCCTGATCACAGCTCAATGACGACTTCTGGGTCCAACAGAAGGAACGGAGATATCGTTAAGTGGTCAAAAGTCCAACAAATACAATTGTTGTTAAGTTAACCGTGCAGCGACATTGTCACGTACGACGAAAGATGAGAATAGGAGGGGAGATTTTTTTTTGGTGCTTTTGAGGGGACCAGCCAAACAGCAATTATTGGGGATTGTCTACAAAACTGTTGTACGCCAACAACGAATCTATCGCAAATAAAACAAGTGCAGAGCCACGATTCTTACGCGGCCAACGAATTAACTGCAGGGTTTGTTTGGAAGGTTCGCCCTTCTGGACTTGGGCATCACCACAGGATCAGATGAGGTTTGCTCACACGGACATGGCAAGAGAGGGGGGGGGGGGTACCCACTGCCCTCACCCTCATCGATCTCCCTGTAGAGCCACTACGGTGGTGGGTAGCTGTGCGGAGAGCGTAGGGCAGGGCTGGCGAGCGAGAGACAGGGACGCTGTACCGTACTCCCGCTCCGGAGGATTGTCAGGTTCGCCGTCGACGTCCGCATATATTTTTTTTTCCCGTGGAGCGACCTTGAACCATAGCACACGTTTAAAAATAAAATAAAATACAAAGCTCGACGCGGATTAAACGTACACACGCACGCACACACACCAAGAGCCCATCCGCCTGTCACCACCACCACCAGCGGTCTATCGGAGAGCATTGTTTTTTTTAAATCAGGGGGGACATACATTACTGTATTATTTATACATTACAGTTACATACATTAATGGCTGAAAAATTAAGTCTCTCTATACATTAGTTTATGTGTGTGTGTGTGCGAACCGGTGTGTGTGTGTGTCCCCATGTGTCGTGGTTTTAATGAATCGCGAGGTGTTTATCCTCACCCCTTTTACCCCTCCACCACCACCACCACCACCACCGGCGCCACCGCAACGTCTGCGTGCCCCACCACGTGTCCTCCCTCGCCCCCTCCTCGGCTTGACGGGCGTCTTGACAGCGGTGGGGCAGCTCAAGAGGCCGGCTCCTCCTCGCCGGAGCCCCGCTAGAACCTCGGAGCGGCGGGAGTTGGGGAGGCGCTCACTTCCCGCTCGACCCTCGCCGCCACCGCCACACCCCCAGCGCCACCTCCGTCCCCGTCTCCTGCCGCCGCTTCGGTCACCACCACCACCACCACCACCCCCCCCCCCCATCGCGGCCGCTTGTGTGACCGTTTTGAGGTAATCACCACAAATATCGGCCGCCAAAGTTCTCCGCAGTTTTTTTGGTTCAAGAGGTTTTTGTTTGTTACGAAATCTCCACGACAACGCCCCCCACCTCCTCTCACCATCCCCTGCCTCTCCCCCCCCCCCCCAAACAAAAAAAAAACATTATTCTTTAAAAAAACGAAACAGACGAACGGACGAAACGTACAGACGGGACGAATATGAAAACAAAACCTCTTGCTACTGCTGCTGTTGCTGCTGCTGCTGCTGCATCACTCCTGTCTGCTGTTGAAGGGTGGTGAGGGGCCAGGGATGGTGCTGCGAGAGGCGCTCGGAGTAAATTGCAGGGGAGCTCCCGCGGTGAATTTCCACAGCTGCCCCCGCCACCGCCACCTCCTCCTGCACGCCCAAAGCCGCCGGCCCGGCCCAGTCACCCCCCCCACCCTCGACCGACAGTGCAACTCCGACTCCATCGTCGCGAGCGTCGGCTCGTTTGAGACGGCGAATCCGGGACGGGCGCGCGAGGCACCGCCGAGTCCATCGCGCCGCTGGCACTCTCACATGGCGTAGTGGTCGAAGCTGCCCAGGTACTCCAGGGCAGCCTGGTAGCAGAACTGATACTGGTCCTGTTCGATGTCGCACAGAGAGACAGAGAGAGAGAGAGAGAGCGGGGGCGGCAGAGATGGCCAACAACAACAGGCAGGCAGGCAGGCAATTACTCACAGTGCAAAGTGCCGAGTGCCATCAGTGAGGAGCATGAAACCCATCGCGCCAACTCTGGTCATCCCCGCAGCGGATTTTCGGAAGTCACCGGACAAAGGCGGCGGTCGCCGCATCGCGCACTTCCAGATGCTCTTCTGCAGCCGTCTGGAACGCTCTCCCTTCCGACTTTAGGAAGCCAACGGACCTTTGCACTTTTACATCGAGAGTGTAAGCTCATTCGTCTAGAACCGCTTTTTGTGCTTATTTTGTTGTCCTGCCTCCGCATCCCCGATTAGCATGGTTGGAGCTATGTGCGGTGCGAAAGAAGTTCAACATACACCCCCTCCTCCCCCACCGCCGTCAAACCTATTGTACCAGCTTCATTATTCAAACACTGCCCAACATGTAATTGGGTCTCCATGAATAATCTGCAAAAAAAATACATTCAATATTATCTGTCTGATAAATATCAATAAAATACCAAGTTGTGGGGTCTCAACAGAAGGATCGGTGGTGGGGGGGGGGGGGGGAAGCGGGGGGTAGTCACCCCCCATCGCCCCCCCCACCCCCACCTTGGATCTGCCACTGCCCAGAGCAGCCTCCTTCACTCGTTAGATTTTGACAACTATGCATCTTTTGTCACCCCAGCGTCAAGTGCCTCGCGGCTTTAACCCAGCACCGACTCACTCAACACCTTGCTCCACGTGTACGGCATCCCAATAGCAGCCTGCGCCTGACCTCGCTCGACCCAGAATACTTCATCACGTAATGGGGCAGAGTAAACTTTGCACCCATAACCCTGCCCCCTATTGTACCGGTGTTGCACACCCTCCACCTGGCATCCTCCACCCAGGACCACTGATCCAGCAACTGCTGCCCCTTTGCCTGGCACATCACTACGTGTACCTGTACATCACCCCTTTGTACATCACGCCCTTTGTACATCACCCCTTTGTGTCACTTCACTGCTGGACGAGGGCCTCCCCATACTGTGCAGGTCATGGTGGTGGTGGGGGGGGGCGGGTGGAGCTACTTGACCATACCAACTTAATGATTGGTGCGGTGTTAGAGAAGGCAAGAAAATATAGTTGTGGGCGCATAGAAGTATAGTACTCTACCGCAATTGATTTTTGTCTACATTACCCTCTGGTGTTCTCCATGTAGTTCAGCCACCAGTATGGACAAACCTTGTGCATGGCGATAGCCCATCCAAACACCGTCGAATTTCAACCCTGCTCAGCTCTTGCCTTGATGAGATTGAGCATGGTGAAATATATTTTGCGCGACAACTCATTTGACAAAAGGCCTAAAGGCCACAAAGTTACACATTGCTCGTCATCAACACCTCGGGTCTCTGGGTTAATTCCAATTCAGAATAATCCGTCAACCTCCGTGCGCGAGACAGCTACTCTCCCAGCGAGCGCTTGTGAACGGCAGACTGACCGGAACGACCCGGGGTGGGACAAATTACTTTTTCTTACGTAACGTAGATTTGAAAACCTTGACGACAGAACCTGCCAGGAGGTGTGACCGTTGCGACGCCGCGGGGCGTGAGCGGCGGCGCTGGGGAAGGCCTCACCTCGGTCTGTATCATGGCGGCGCGCTGCGTGCGCAGCATCTTCACCGTCTGGAACACATCGACGGTCCCCTCGTAGCGCATGCGCTCGAGAACGATGCTCAGCGTCACGAACACGCCCGTCCGCCCCACGCCAGCGCTGCCAGGGGGCACGTGCACACGGCAGTCCCGTCCCTCAACCGCGCCATCATCGTCGCCATCGTCATTGTCGTCATCAATCATCATCATTGTCATCAATCATCATCGTGGCAATCATCGTCATCGTCATCATCATCATCGTGCGTCACCATCATCATGATCGTCATCATCGCCATCATCATCGTCGTCATCGCCATCATTGCCGTCGTTATCCAGCCATTGAGCAAAGACGGTCACGGCATCGCGTGTGTTCAGATGCTTCCTGGAACGTTCTTCCGTCTGATATTAGGAAGGCACTGGAGCTATGCACTTTTTGCATCAAGACTGATGAACCAATTCCTTTACAACTGGTTGTTGTGTTTAATTTGTTGTCCTTTCCCCACAACTCCAATTAACATGGCTGCTTTGCACGGTGCGAAATAAGTTCTAGATACAGCATTGTCGTAGTCTACTGTACACCATCATCAGCAGCAACTGCAGCAGCGTTACCGAAACCATTATCGGCAAAAGCAGCAGCAGTGACATCATCATCATGATCGATATGATCAATGGATGTGCATGTCCAGTGTTAAAAACCAATACACCCTACAGCAACATCCCTTTGGAGGTGGGGTATAAATAATAGATCATATTTATGATGAGGAATTGAATGTGATCATGAAGATCATCAGTAGTAGCAGCAGCAGCAGCAGCCTCAGCAGTAGCAGCGGTGTTGCCAGCACCACGCTTTATTTAAAAAGGCAGGGCCTCAATTTGAGGGCCCTTCTATTTCCAGGGTATTTTGGCCCACTTTTCCACGTTGGCCAGATATCTTGTAAGAGGTCAGAGAACCCACCCATTACCGCTTCACACGCAACCTGCCGATGGACTTAACTGCTTTGGACCCATTTACACTGCTGGGTGGACAGTGGTGGTGGTGGTGTTGGTTGTGAGGGGTGGGTGGGGGTGGGCGAGTTAAAGCAAAACTTGCACCATCCTTTCAACCGCTGCGCTGAGAGATCGATTTGAACCGGCGAGACCCTCTGGATTGCAAGTCCACTGCGCCTAACCCATTACAACCAGGTGCGGTATGAATAATAAATGACGGTGATGATGATGAACAGTGGGCCCGGGGGGGGGGGGGGGGGGGGAGAGACCGGTCGCGAGCGGTCACCTGCAGTGCACGGTGATGGGCCCATCCTGGCCAAACTGCTCCTTGGTCTTGTGCACCTGGCCGATGAAGTCGATGAAGCCCTCGCCCGACTTGGGTACGCCCTGCTCGGGCCAGTCCGTGAACTGGAACTGACGCACGGTGCGCGACTGTCCGTCCTAGTAGCAGGGCGGGGGGGGGGATGGGAGAATGAGGAGATGGACCCCAGGTTTCTGCGACGAAGCAAGGGGTGTGACCGTGGCTTTTACGTGAATACAAATTAGGGGTAATTTTTTTTCCCTACACTCGCAAAAATGTGTTTGTGTGAGTTGACTAACTTGTAACCAGTGAGTATATTACATTAAGGCCAATCATTAAGGATTACATTAATAGTAATTTTTATTCTGTGTTTAATTCATTTTCCTTCCCACGCACCTCTGCTTAGCACAGTTGGATAAGTGTGGTGCAAAAGTTCAACGTTCAATCAAGACAAAAAAAAAATAGACACGATATTCTAAAACCGTCCAAAAAGATAATAATACATTTTTCAATTCTAATTACGACCATAAGTAGTGACAATATCATCACATCGCTGTGGAGGAGTGAGGCATGAGTAACTAATTACACGCCTTGCAAGAATACGCCGTTGACTCTGTCACCAACAGTGGGATGTGTCCACATGGCTCAATAAAACATGCAAGTGGGTACCTCCTCCCTTGGCAAAGGAAACTACGAAAGGAGAACCACTGCATTTGAAAGGAAAGCCTTCAGGGGAATTTAAAAAAATGTATTAGAAGGAGCAATGCAATAACTCAGGTAGTCTTGGAAGGAATAGACACGTTCAAATAATCCAGGCTTACTGAGTCAGGTCAAGTAGAGGAAACTGCAGACAGTGACCATTCTTCCTGGTCGCATGTCTGAAATATTGCAAAGGAAGGTGGCTGGAGGGAGCATTGGAAGGTGCCAGAATCCGAATGGACATCAAACATCAATGACCGGACGGGAACGGAAGCCGTCTCGGTTGCAAGACCCAACGACGGACGGAGAGAAGCGGAAGAGACCACCCGCTGAAGGCGACGGTCGTGCTCCAATGGCCGAAAAACGGCGAAGCGGCCTAGAAGGACGGACGAGCTCACCCTGGCGTCGGTGACCTTGAACTCGCGCAGCACGTACTGCGGCATGTTGTACTCTGCCATGGGGTCCACCACGAAGTACTGGTAGCGCGCCGAGCGCTCCGCCGGCCAGTACTGGTGGCACTTCTCCTGCGGGCAGGAGGTGGGGGGCACGGCAGGGTGACACGCTGCACTCACACCTTAATTTGCACCGGTTTAAACTTAGACATTACATTTATTATTTTACCAGGTAATACGAGCCCGCCGGATAAACTAATTGATGGCGCACAGACAGCAGGGAAGGGATCTTTGCGATCCTAAAGTATGAACTAAACTAGATTTACTTTATCAGGTAAGGCCCACTGAGCTATATAGCTCGTTTTCAGAAGCGACCTGGCCACAAATGATTGCTTAACGAAGGGGCTCACCACGTGGAAATTTATAGCAGCCAAATACTTGAAGTGCATGTTGCTAAATGCGGAGGGAAAAACCGGAGGACCCAGAGATCAGGATTGAACCCACAACCTCTTGCACACCAGGCGAGGCAAATAACATCTCGCCACTGTGGCGTCATTCTATCACGGTTGGCTACGTACAGTACTCACAAGGTTCAGCAGACATTCATACAGACTGTGTCGTTCAGTTGAGTGGCATGCGTGTCAATGCGTCCGTGTGTGTATGTGTGGTGGATACTTGTGGATGGTGTGTTTTACCACTGGCCCTTTATGCCTAATCTTGCACTTTTTTTATTCATTACTTCGCTCAAAACTTTTAAAAGATACATTTTTGAAAGTATATAATTTCTTACCTATTTTACTCTTTGGTTCTTTCGGTAAAGTCACGTAGGTATAAAATAAAATAAATCACGACGTTTCAGGCGCAACACAAGCGTCCGTCATCAGGTGAGAAAGCACCAGAAACGTCGTGATTTATTTTATTTTATACCTACGAAAGAACCAAAGAGTATGGGGATTCCTGTCGTCACGAAAACTTCAAATCAAGATTTGTACCTATTTTTTATTTATTCCTTTGAATTCTTCATTTATCTTTCTCTGTTATGTCTTTCACGGAAACGGTGTGTGTTTTTTTACTGATGAAATCCGACGAAAGAGCTTCTGAGCTCACAGGGTACTTCAAACTAAACCGAAACTAAACCGAAACTGAACTTGTGCAGCCGCGCGGGTCTCCAGGTACGTGCCCGCGGTGGCTGAGGTGAGATGCTGCATGCTTTAATCACAGTTCGCTAAGCGAAGGACCTAAAAAGGCCAAACCACCGAGTGGCCAGTGACATAGACGCAGGCGTTTGACTTGCAGCTGGAAACATTCGGTGAGTCATGGAGCTCCCTTTCCTTGCAGGTTTCCAGCCCCCCCCCCCCCTAGCTGGAGTCGCCAGAGGTAACAAAAAATGACGGGTGAACAAATTGAACCGTACAGAATCTTGAAGGAAACAACAGAATATAGAAATCAACATTACCAAAAAGGAAAGGTTAAATTAGACGTTTTGAATTCACAGTTGTTTAATCATGGTTGCAAAACACGGCCGCACATCAACAGTTGCTGTAGTTGACAAAAAATTGTCCGACTGAATTTGAAATATAAACTAATAAATCTACATGAGTGTGACAGTGTTTACATGGCTGTGTGGGTCTCTGGGTACATGCTCCGACTTTAGGGCTTAACCAGATTGCACAGGTCTGTGTGTGTCTGTGTGTGAGGGTGTGCGTGCAGCTGTCTTTTGGACGTGTCATCTCAGTCAGTCAACCCGTGGCACCTGGGGTCTGTCCCGTGACCGCCTGCCAGCGGGCGTTCGACACTTCACGTGGCCTTAAAGTGCACAGAGCCTGGCACAAGCGCCGTGGTGACGTCACCATCACTTAGTGGAGAATGGCGGTTGTTGTTGTGCGTGCGCATGTGCGTACCCGTCCCATCTCTCTAAGCTTAGTCAGCATGACCACGATGGTGGAGTTCTGCTCCCAAAGCATCCTCCAGAAGTCCTCCGTCGTTTCAGGAAGAGGACCTTGTGTAGCGATGTATGCGCCCTGTTGCCTGTGGGATTCAACACCCGGAGACAAACAAATAGACAGGTGAATGTCCGTCTCATAACTCTGTAACATTCATCAAAGTCAGTCTGGAAAGCCCATAGGCAAATAAATGTAATTATTTTGTGTTATACATACATTGTTTATTTATTGATTCAGGCCTTTGCGGCTGGGGGGGGGGGCTGTAGAGTTGCCACATCTGAGGTGCCAAAATCCTGGACATTATCATGGCGAGGGAAATATCTCACAACATGTGAAGATGGGAAAACTACAGGTTAAATATTGTCTCGCCTTATGTGCTGTATTATTAACTGACAAAAAAATAGTGTTTGAATTGTTCTGGGAAGACGTGTAGATTTCCCAGGACAGCCATCTAGAAAAGAGGACATTACCAGGATAGCCAGGACAGGTGGCAACCGTAGAGGCCTGCCTAGGAGAGGCAAAGTTGCTGGGATTTCAGTGTGGTGCATCACACGCTATGCAACTGCTCCCCACACGCACACACAAACACATAGGCAAAGATCACCCGTATAGCCTCTACAAGACTATGAGGACAAGCGCGAGCACCTACAAGCACCTATGAAGGCCAGCAAGGGGCCTGAAGGGGTGGTGTGGCCAGAACCACACCTGGCCACCTCTGTCACCCCGTGGCGATGTTTACACACCACACTAGTTATTCATTTAAAGACAAAATCCCCCAGTATGACCTTTAACAGACTGCTGGGGTAAGTGCTGTTAGTGAGCACCTATCAAGCCCGGCACGGCACACGAGGGGGTAGGTGGCCAGCACCACGCCCGGACGCCTTTGGCTCCCCAGTGGCGATGTTTACACACTGCATCAGGTACTCATTTGAGGCTGAGTCGACCTAGGGGAGGCCCAGGAGCAGTTCAAATAATCGTCACTGGTGTTGACCGTGAGCGGGAATCGAACTCGGGAATCCAGGTTCGAAGCGCGGCAAGCTAACCGCGGCGCTAACCGCGGCACTACCGCTCCCCACAAGCAAACACGTACGTACGTGCAAGCACACACACATGAGCACAGGGTCCATAGAAATTACAGAACATCTCCACAAAGATAAGTGTGCAGACAAGTGTTCAGGATCGTGCGATTACCAAGGTGCTTGTAAGTCACGACGTTTTATCTCGTCAGGCTGAAAGCATGCATAACCAGTCGAATCTTTCATGACTCGCGCATCACCACCACAACAACTAGAAAACAACCATACCACCCACCATGAAAAAAATTATCCGCTATAATTTTCACAAACATTAGTTGCCAACCCGTGCGATGTAATTTCTTAAAGACCGACCACAACATCAGCTCCCCACTAAGTGCCCCTGTGGTGGAGCTTTCACAAAAAGCCACTTTTACAAAGCACAACATCATCAGCAGCAGCAGCAGCCCAGTTTCAATTACACATCTTTCCTCGGCAAAAAAACTGGCTATTATAAATAGCCGGTACTGCCAGATGCCTTTTCACACAAAGGCCCCTTGGTTTGAAGAATAATTCCGGAAAAAGAAACACAAACTTTACGTGAACAAAGGTGTCTTGCACACTTTAACCCTTCTATTGAGGCTGGATGAGCAGAAACTAGCAGCCAGACTGCCCTTGGCCTTCAAAAAGTCCATAAACAACTGCACTTTGAGCAATGGAAAAAAACAGCACCTCGACCTGTAAAGAGCCATTGTGTCCTATAATGGACCGGTTTTGTTGTTGTTGTTGTACACCACATATCACCAACAAGCCCAGGCTTGTTTTCATGTAGGTTCGTATAGGGGTGGGGGGAGGTGGGGCATTAATGGAAAGGGGCATTTACGTCACTCACAGCGCGCTGCGGTACAATTTAAATGTATACACCTGTTGTAAAAATGTGACCGCATCTCTAAATGCCCTGCCGAAGAAACAGGCAGCATATTTCTTTTATAGCGAGGCAAAGGAGGTAAGTCATAGGCAGAGGGGGGGGAGAAACGAAATTGTAGTTCTTGAGCCTGGACTTGAACAGGGGACAGGAAGTCTGCCGCACAGATGGCTGGGGGAAAGGAAGGTTCCAGACTGTGGGTGCAGCAGAGGAGAATGAGCGACCTCTCCCCACAGAGCAACGGCTAACTCGGGGGGCCTTGATAGAAATGTACGCGTGTTGAACTTACTTCAAACCGTACGTAGCCAACTGTGCTAATTCGGAGGTGCGGGGGAAAGACAACAAGAAAAGATTGATTGCTGGAGCGGAGAGTGTGCGGAGGGGATTAGAGTGAAACGGGGTGCGAGAAGTGGGCAGGGGAAAGTCCACGGAGGATCTTAAAGATTGGTGAATGTGATCTTGAAGTTGATCTGCTACTGGATCTGGAAGCTGTGGAGGGTTGGGAGACATTGGGGTGAAGGGGGGGGGGGCTGGATTCCTGAGAGTGCACGGAAGGGAGTTGGCCGAAATGCCGGAGAGACAAGATGCTTGAGCAGAATTGGTCGGGGAAGGGGGCTCTGGTTCTTAGTGGGGGGGGGGGGCACTCTTCTCTGCGCTTGCTTCTTAACGGCTCTGGTTGATGAGAGACCAATCAGGGTCAGGAGGTCAAGGGCTCTGTGTCCTCTGGTGCCTTTGCTCATTACATATGACCTTAGGTACATGAGCATATGACATTTCATTGGCTGCATATAAGAACAGTGAGAATACTTAATGTACTCAATGTACAGAATTTTATTGTCTTATTTTATTTTATTATTTTATTCCCATTCCACGTGACTTTACCGAAAGAACCAAGAAGATAGATAAGCAGACTATGTCGCCTTCATGAAAAAAGTTAATAAAAATATTTCGTACACAACCCATCGGCCTAATGGTCTTTTAGGGAGTGCATAATTGCAGCGGCATTGAAGCTGTGCAAGCAAACTCTGGGCCGGTCTTGACACACTGCGTCTCATCAGCAGAGCCAAGCTTTCTTGAATCGGTGCCGGTGCACCGCTAGATGCTACAGGCAAGGATCCTCTCCTGAAAATATGGGGCCTAGTTTGCACGCAAAAACTATACAGCAATGATCGTTACTTGACATACGGAACGAAATAGAAAAAAAAACAGATAAGTGGACATCACGTCTCTCCCTTTTCTGTTATCTCTTCTTCTTTAGGCGGAGGGACAGATGGGAAGGAGACGTAATCGCCTTGCTCATCCATTTGTCCGAACACATTCTAGACATAACGACGCCGGCGGCATTCCCACTTGAGATTCGAATCGCCTCCGATTGGCACAGTTGGCTATGTTACGGTGAGAGGAGAAAGTTCGTGCATACATACGCACGCACGGTAAGTTCTAATCCCCAGGGTGAGCGAGATCGAGGGTGGGCGCACCCACCGGTATCCGTCGATGTAGCTGGCATTGATGTAGTCGGAGCCCTCGAGCCCGCGGATGGGCTGCAGTGCGACGCGCGTGCTCTCGTACGGCATCACGTTCACCAGCCGGTTCTTGAACTTGTTGCACGGCAGGTTGGCCGTGATGAACCGCAACGTCTGCATCTTGGTGTTGGACAAACGCTGCGCGGCGGCGAAGGGGGGGGGGGAGAGGAGGAATGGGTGAGGAGGATTCGCGTGCCCCGCGCTGACAAAATGCCTCGAAAACTCAAAGCGCCCTCGACCTCATCTCAAACAATGAAATTCCCTGCTGATTTTGTGTGTGTTTATTTTGTTGTCCTTCCACCGCGCCTCCGATTTGCACGGTTGGCTACGTACGGTGCAAACGAAGTTCAACATACATACAAGGTGACACCTCCGGTGACAGCTGTCCCTGTGCGGCACGAAATTATCTGCAGCAGCACCGTCCCTCAAAGTTGAAATTCGTTTTTCAGAAGTGGGCGATGTGGCCACCTGTTTTTTTTTTCCTCTCCCAATAGAGCAGTTTGTGAGCAATTGATCAAATTTGGCCCCATTGGGACGATGAAGGGCGGGCACACGTGGCTTACCCTTTATCCCAATTGGATCTTGAACGATCTACCGTGATACAGACGTTAATGGAGGGTGCTTCAAAAAATTTGCAACAATACCTCGAGAAACGTACCTCCGGGCTCTCGAGACCACCTGTAGAAGATTCCAGGCATGTGTTGACAACGATGGCGAACAAGTGCAGACTCTATGACTTTCTGAAGCTATTAACATACATTTGTAATCATGTTACAGTGTAGTATCCGTCATTTGTCCATTAAAAACGATAGCCCCATGTAAGTGTTAAACATTTTTTGAAGCACCCTGTACACCTCCAGTGTCAACTTGTGGTCCATCGCTCGGGTTGAGAAGCTGAGCGAGAGAGCGTTGCACGTCTCACGCGCTCGCACGGGGGAACGGAGCGAGCGCCGCTATGCTGTCGGATTGGAACAACGAGAGGATAGTGTGACCACCCACCATGCCTGGCTGCTGTTGTCTCCCCAGTGCCGATGCCTACACACTGCACCGGATACTCATTTAAAGGCCGAGTCGACCCATGAGACGCCATTAAAGGGGGCGCCGGTATCACTTGTCACTGACCGTTCGTCACGACTTGCAATCAAACTCAGGTTACCGAGACATGAGCACGGTCTATAACTCACGGGCGCACATTATGATGTATACCTCATTGCTAATTTGTCCCATTGTCTCTCAGCCTTACCTTCTCTGCCTATTTAAGGCGACTTCACTGTGTGCGTGTCTCTGTGCTGGCTCGCTCTACTTGGATGTCTGTGTGTGTGTGTGCGCGGTCTGTATTTAAAATTTCATACTTAACTTGCAATTTAGCAATCTTTGAAATAGCGTAATCAACCAGACTATGCGTTAATTGTGTTTTGACCGACCGTCTGTGTTGCTTTATATGGTTTCCAAATTTTGCTAAACCCTGTTTGTTTGGTGTGCTTCTCTCTGTCTGTGTCCCCTGTTGTATCTGTGTTAGTTCCCCCCTACTTGGGTGTCTGTATATACATCTGGAGTTATGTGTTTCCTCTCTCTCGTAAATTTAGCTCTTCTGTACCTGATGATGGCTGCTTGTGTTGCAACCGAAACGTCGTATGCTATTATGTTATTTTATTATTTCTTATTTATACATGACTTTACCGAAAAAAATAAAGAGCACATTATGATGTTTGCGTAGGGCTACCCCTGCCTGAATGATGCTCTGCTAGCATCCCATCAGCTTGCCAAGCAAGATGATGTTAAACAATTGTTGCCAGGACGTTTCTGGGTGCACTACTCAAAGGGAATGCCCCAGTAGTTGTTATTTTATACGGAGCCAAATAAAAAATATCTCCCTATAGCCTTTATCAGATTTCTGGAGCAAGTGCGGTTAATGAGCACCGATTAAGGCCGGCATAGAATGGTGCTAGGCTAGCACCACACCCGGCCGCCTTTGTCTCCCCAGTGCTGATATTTACACACTGCTCCAGGTACTCCTTTGAGTCTAAGTTCAACTCGCGGAGACCCAGGACAGGTTCGAATATCCGCCAATGTTATTGGTCGTGAGCAGGGATTGAATTGGGCTCGACGGGTTCGTAGCATAGTGCGCTATGCTACGAGTTGGGAGCGGTAGTGTAGTGCACTACACTACCGCTCCCAACTCAAATGCACGCACTCTCTCACGCTCTAAGTCAAACACACATGCAGGTTCATACACAAACACGCAATCGCACAACAACAACCGCCATTCGCCACTAACTGACGGTGAGTAATTGTGCACGTTGAGGCCACGTGAAGTGTCGAACGCCCGCTGGCAGGAGGTCACGGGGCAGACCCAGGTGCCACGGGTCGAATGACTGAGATGACTGGTTGAGGCACCACCTGTGCCCTCTACTGTGCCAAATTGCTGTGCTTTAGCCACCCGGCGCTCCGTTCGTTGTTGTGAGCGTCACTCCTCCCCCCTCCATTGTTGTTGAAGGGCGACTGCCTCCAACTGCCCAGTAGCGTCCTTCACGAGCCTCCTCCACAGAGGCCGATCTTGACACGATTGGTACCAGTCGTCGGCAAGTCCAATCAGCTCCACATCCTCCTGTACCACGTCACTCCATTTTTTCTCCCGCCCGTGCCGCACCCGTTTAGCCCCCTCGATACGGCCAAACAAAAGCTGTTTAGGCATGCGGTGACTTGGCATGCGGGCTACATGGCCCAGCCAATGCAGCCTTGCCTGCCGGAGGAGCTCACCAATGGGACTTTGTCCAGATCTCTCAAGGAAATGTGAGCTCTTCACACAATCCAGCCTGGGTAAACCCAAGATGGATCGTTGGCAGGCCAGCCTAAATGTTTCTAACCAGCAAAGATGTTCCATTAGGAGGGTCCACGTTTCGCATGTGTAGAGAAGGGAGGGAATGACTGTGGCCGAGAAGACCTGAAGCTTTGTGCGGAGCGACAGACCAGGTAGATTCCACACAGCGTTTACGCAATCGATGAAAAGATAATGCCGCTCGACTGATTCCGAGTGAGACCTCTCCTGTCAAACCAGAGCCGGTCATGAGCACATTGCCCAGGTATGGGAAACTCTCCACTCTCTCCACTATTGCCCTGTCACCAATTAGGAGTTGTGGCAGTGGAGTGTCCGATGGTACAAAATACCCAGGCAGGTGCTTAGTTATGGTGGGGCTGATGGTAAGTCCCCACCTCTTAGTGGCAAGCTCCAGGTTCAGCAGCAGCGCCTCCAACTCCTCCTCTGAGTGAGTAGCAATTACCAGATCATCAGCATACATAACGTGGTTGAGCAATAGAGAGCCATCCCTTCACCGCACCCGGGCATCGATCAGCCTCCCATTGTATCTGTACCAGATGGAAATTCCTCCGGTACAGCTATTGAAGCTTCACGAACTACGTGGTCGAAATAGATGTTAAATAATCTTACACGCACAAACACACACACACTCACGCACTCTCACACACACTCACGCGTTCTCACACACACTCACACACACTTGCGCGTGAGCTTGTCGCATATCAAGGCGTGGATCCGATTCATCCGCCACGGGATTTGCAAATTATCCACGGCAGCTGCGGATTGCGATTTTAATCCAAATATAACGCAATTTGAATATTTTTGTTTCTTCTTCTTCTTCTTCTCATGCGGCTCGATTGCACGAACCCAACAGGGTGACTGCGGGAGGCACGAGACGGATTATCCTGCCGCCCTCACTCGGCGGCCCGCGCCGCTCACACCCCGCTCTCGGGGCGCACGGCGTGACAAAAAAAAAAGTTCGCAGGCGCGCTCGTTCGCTCGCGTAAACACGGGGGAGGGCTTCGCGACGCCGCCCCGCCGTTGGCGCGTTCGTGCCGCCCCGCGCCGTCCCCTTCACCCGCGGCCGACGTGCAAGAACAGGCCACTGTGTGCCATTTTCAGGAAAATTACACCGTGATTTTAATTTATTCCTAGGCAGCAAACATCGCATCCCTATTGGCAGACGAATATGCCCCAAGGCACCCTTGCAAACGAGACTCATCCTGGTGTCTTGAGTTCTCAACTGGTTATATAAAATAAACTTGAAACTAATTCCTTCCGAGTCCACCTCGTCTGACTGCTGCGACAAATGATGCCATTTCGTGGCAACTTATTGCAGTCAGCATGGAGCACGGGGCTGGTAATACGTCTGCCCACCTTTATCACGCCGGTGTCAAGAGTTCAAGCTCGGGATGGAATCACAATAATGACAATGCTTACAATCTTCTTTGGTTCTTTCGGTAAAGTCACGTAGAATGAGAATAAAATAATAAATTGATAAAATAAAATAACACAATAATATTCTCACGACGTTTCGGCCACAACACAAGCGGCCTTCATCAGGTGAAGGGACGAGACTGTCTGGTAGGACAGCGCTGGAGTGAAAAAAGCCACGTTCAGATCACGACCTTTAAGCTGTGTGAGAGGAAACAAAGCGCCTTGACAAAGGAATTAGCATATAATTTAGCATTGAAATGGCTGAGTGATTAGCTAGTGACTGGTTACAGAAATAGCTATGTTAAAAGTTAAAGCATACACATCCGCAGAGGCACCCCTTGACAAAGGAATTAGCATAGAATTTAGCATTGAAATAGCTAAGTTAAAGCATACACATCCGCAGAGGCACCCCTTGACAAAGGAATTAGCATAGAATTTAGCATTGAAATAACTGAGTGATTAGCTTGTAACTGGTCACAGAAATAGCTATGTTAAAGTCAGAGCATACACATCTGAGCTATTCACAGTACTATATAGTGAACCAATAAAAAACTAAAATAAAAATTACCTTAATGTTATCAATAAACTCTATATTCTCCAATCAGCTAAGCTACCAACAATAAGTCGTTATATATCACAGCAAAGACGAACGTTTTGAATTATCTCAATTAAAAAAGAGGGATGATATTGTCGTCCTCTCAGCCGACAAGAGTGACTCACTATATAGTACTGTGAATAGCTCAGATGTGTAGGCCTTGACTTCAACATAGCCATTTCTGTGACCAGTCACTAGCTAATCACTCAGTTATTTCAATGCTAAATTCGCCTAGTTATTTCAATGCTAAATTCTCCTGTTTGATTTGTACTAAGTGCCTCGGTGAATGTGTATGCTCTGACTTTAACATAGCTATTTCTGTGACCAGTTACAAGCTAATCACTCAGCTATTTCAATGCTAAATTCTATGCTAATTCCTTTGTCAAGGGGTGCCTCTGCGGATGTGTATGCTTTAACTTAGCTATTTCAATGCTAAATTCTATGCTAATTCCTTTGTCAAGGGGTGCCTCTGCGGATGTGTATGCTTTAACTTTTAACATAGCCATTTCTGTGACCAGTCACTAGCTAATCACTCAGCCATTTCAATGCTAAATTATATGCTAATTCCTTTGTCAAGGCGCTTTGCTTCCTCTCACACAGCTTAAAGGTCGTGATCTGAACGTGGCTTTTTCACTCCAGCGCTGTCCTACCAGACAGTCTCGTCCCTTCACCTGATGAAGGCCGCTTGTGTTGTGGCCGAAACGTCGTGAGAATATTATTGTGTTATTTTATTTAATCAATTTATTATTTTATTCTCATTCTACGTGACTTTACCGAAAGAACCAAAGAAGATGAATCATTGCAGTCACAAAAGCTTTAAATCGAAATTTAATGCTTACAATTTCAAGCAACCAATGGAAGAATGGTGCATCAACTCATCGCTGGATGTTGACTCTGGAGCTCAATAAATCGGAAAAAATAGAGGTTTGAGGATTTGTGTAGGTCATACGTAACGCGTTCACATGATCGCGACGCTGAATCATGGTCATTCATCAAATTTCCAGGGGGTGTGGCCGTGCCGCACACATACTATTCATATGCTCACAAAAGCACAAAGACATCCCCGTGTAGCCTCTAGCAGAGTGTCGGGGCACGTGCTGTTAGCGAGTAGCAGCAGTGCCTATAAAGGCCGGCACAGCACATGAGGGGGTCAGTAACCAGCACCACGCCTAACCGCCTTTGCCTCCCCCGTGGCGATGTTTACACACCACACCAAGTACTCATGTGAGGCCCAGCCGACCTCGGGGACGATCGGTTCAAACAACTGTCACCGCGGTTGGCCAGTGAGCGGGAATCCGAAATCGCGTCGCCGGGATTCCTAGCGCAGAGCGCCAACCTCCGGCACTCCCGCTCCCCGCACCGACGCGAGCGGACAGACACGCGCCCACGCGCACGCACACTCGTGTTGCCCTCCGCATCTCCCCCCGGCCCACCCCCCGGCCCACCCCCCGGCCCCGTCGGCTCGAGCCGCACCTTGAACTCGAGCTCCATGCCGGTGGCCGTGTCGCCCGGCTCCACGACGCCGAGCCGCTGCAGGTGCGCGTAGAGTGAGCGCGCCGGCACCTCGGTGCAGCCTACGGTGGAGGCCTCGAGCAGCGCCTCGTGCACAAACACGTACTGCTCCTCCGTCTGCACCATGTAGTTCCGCTGCGCCCGCATGCACGTCACCTGCACCGACAATGCCGCCGCCGCCGCCGCCGCGCGTTAACCACCGATGCAGCCGTGGGTTCGATCGACTCTGAAGCCCGCTGTACATTGGGAGATTGGATGTTCTCCCCGTGGTTGTGTAGATTTTTCTCCGGTTACTCCGGTTTTTCCCTCCACATTTAGAATGAATGTGCGTTTAGAGTATTTGGCTGCTATTTATTTCCACATCACGATGAGCCGCTTCGTTGGGCTATCATTTGTGATGGCCAGGTCGCTTCTGCAAAAGAGCTCTGCAGTTCAGCGGGACTTACCTGGTAAAATAAAAAGTTTAGTTTAGTTTAGTGTGTGCCTGTCTTTGTGTGCATCTCCGTGTGTGTCGGTGCACCTGTGAGTCTTAGCTCGTACAAAAAAAAAAAGATTTAGTTTACTAATTCTCCATGATTTTTTTGTCCCCGCGTCTGCCTGACGGTGCCGTGGGTTATCAAAGCAGGGCTTGAGTTAAAGGGGCCTTCCTCTAAGCTCCATCAAGGACACTTCTGTGTGATCGGGAAGTAAACAAAAAAATGACCCCCACGGTGGAGTCACTGCGATCCCCAACAGTGCAGCTTTCCGCTGTTACCACTACAGAGCGGCTTAATTTGCCCATGAATTGCAACGATATGTTAACGTGAAAAGCTGCTCTGCAGGAGGCTCCCAAGGACTGGCGTTTGAGAAACGCCGTTTTTGCCGTCCCACTCCGGCGGGGGCTCAGCGGCGGAGCGAGCGGCTCGTAATCCGAGTTATGAGAGTTCAAACGCCGGTGCGGATTTGACCGAGGCCATCGAACCAGCTGGGGTCAATGCAATGAGGTTCACCATGTGGGGAAGTTAACCGTGCTTGTCCTATGGATAAACCGAGCCCGCTCCACAGGACAGTGGAATTTCCACCGCTCGTTCAAGGCTGTAAGCAGGAGATGACCACCGCCTCAATGCGCATTTCACGACAATCACTTTCGCTTTGAGTCGAACAAACCCCTCCTCAGATTTCGAACGACAGCAAAAGCTACCAGACCTCTGGGGAAGCTCCACCGGGAACACCTTGTGAGCTGACAGCCCCCTCCCCCCTCTTTAAAACCCCTCCCCCTTTGACATAGCCACGCCCACTCAAATATAGTCCCCACCAACACAGGGGTAGTGGCCTCCCTTGGCTCTTTCTGACATTAATCAATTAATCAAGTCTTTATTTCTATAGCACTATTTCGTGAAAAAGAATGCCATTCAAAGTGCTGTACAGAGATATATATATAAAAACAAACATTTTCAATAGACTAAATCACAAGAAGAATAAAAGCAAATTCCATACGGGAGTTTGGTCGCGAAGTCGCACAGCTGTTAAACAGCGGACAAAGTCAGGGCGACACCGGGGACTGCCCCTCCTGAGACCACCGGAGCGGCGGCCCCGGGCCGAGCCGGCAGCGTTCGGTTTCCATCACCTGGCCGTAGACGTCGACGGAGTTCTCGGTGCGCATTCGCTCCAGCATCGCGTCCATGACCATGAAGCAGCCGGTCCGGCCCACTCCAGCGCTGCACTCGACAGCAACGCAGACAACGATCCCCACGTCAAGCGAGCACCAGTTAAGGCCGTCGCGGCGCGTAGTAAGGGGGGTGGGAGGGAGTCGGGAGTGGCCGGCACCAGGTCCGGCCGTGTTGATGTTTACGCACCGCACCGGCGACTCATTATGAGGCGAAGCCCCGGGAACCAGTTTCTGATATCGCTCGCCAGGCACACGGCACGGTCTGCGGCTGCGTCGCGCACTCATCCGCATTCCACACGCGAATATTAACATTTCGCGGGTGCGATCAACACACACAGCAGTGCAGTACGCATGCACACAAAGACAAAGATCCCCTCCACCCCTGTATAGCCTTTCACTGACGGTTGGGGCAAGTGCTGTTAGTGTGCACCTACGAGAGCCGGCACGGCACACGGGAGGGTCGGTGACCATCACCATGCCTGACCGCAATTGTGAAAGATATTTACACACCGTACCAGGTACTCATTGAAGGCTGAGCCAATCTAGGAGCAGTTCAGATTTTCGTCACTGATGTTGGCCGTGAGTGGGAATCGAACACAGGTCGCTGTGCTGGTAGTGAATCGTGCTAACCACTGTACCACTGCTCCCCATACGCACACACATGCACGCACGCATACACACAAAAGTACAAATGCGTTTGTATTGGGGGTACATGAGCAGATAAAGATCCCCCCTATAGCCTTAACAGACTGCAGGGGAAAGTGCTGTTAGCGAGCACCTATGAAGGCCGGAAGGGTACACGAGGGGGTGGGTGGCCAGCACCACTCCCGACCGCCTTTGTCTCCCCAGTGGCAATGTTTACACACCACACCAGTTACTAATTTGAGGCTGAGTCAACCTAGGGGAGGCCCATAACCGGTTCAGATAATCGTCACTGGTGTTGGCCGTGAGCGGGAATCGAACCCGGGTCGCCGGGTTCATAACGCAGCGCGCTAACCGCTACACGACCGCTCCCCAAACACATACACACACACACACACACGTACGAGACAAAACATTAAAATAATGACATTCATTGCTAACAAAATCACTATTTAATTTAAAAGGTGTAAAGGTTATGGAGCTAAGAGGTATTGACCATCTCCCATTCAAATTGCGAGCAGAGCCAATACGAGACCTACGCACATGGCTTGGTACTGACGACCAGATCATTCTCATGGGGCTGGTGGTGGAAAGGTGTAGGCGAGTCCATTACGGGAGCTTCCACATTACAATTCACATTTGGATTGGCGGTGTCTTCTTTAACGCAGCCTCGAGCGACTCGGCACGTGGATGAGAAATGCAGGGCACCGACACGGACGATGGAACAAGAGTTGAAGAGAGTGCAGAGAAGCATGGGGAGGAGGTGCATGTTTGAGATGACACTGAGAGACAGGAGGAGGGGCACGTGGATTAGGTAATGCACTTGGGTTGGAGGCATCATTGTGACGATAAGTGTGAACTTCTTTCACACCATACCGTGCTAATCGGAGGTGCTGGGGAAGGACAACAAACTAAACACAAAAATCAGTTCTAATGAAATGAGTTTTCAATCTAGAAACGCATGATCTTCTTTCGCACCATACGTAGCCAACCGTGCTAATCGGAGGTGCGGGATGACCTTACCACACGTTCAGAGCAATCAACCAAGATCCGTGCACATTTATTAATCTATTTTGGCATGGGAAGAGACACTAACGAAAATGTCATTGATTTAAAATTGACCCAACCAATGAAAATATCTGCCGTGGGGCCTAACACAAAGTGACAGAAAGTGACACAACCTAGCCAACAGCCGCAACATCACATTACCTGCAGTCTGGCGTGCCTGCTTATTATGGGGAGAGAAACACACTCCGACGGCTGTTCGGAATGTACCGCGCGTGTTGGTCAGCACAGTGTCCAACGTTTCGCCCTCCGTGCCGGGAGCTTGTCCAGGAAACTCAGCAGTTCCTGAATATCGATTTAAAGCTTTCGTGACTGCAAGGATTAATCTTCTTTGGTTCTTTCGGTAAAGTCATGTAGAATGAGAATAAAATAAAACAATAAAATTCTCATGACGTTTCGGCCACAACACAAGTGGCCTTCTTCAGGTGAAAGGAACAAACCTGTCGGGTCGACAGAGCTCTGTCCTGTCGGGTCGACAGAGCTCTGTCCTGTCGGGTCGACAGAGCTCTGTCGACCTGACAGGTTTGTTCCTTTCACCTGAAGAAGGCCACTTGTGTTGTGGCCGAAACGTCGTGAGAATTTTATTGTTTTATTTTATTATTTTATTCTCATTCTACGTGACTTTACCGAAAGAACCAAAGAAGTTCCTGAATAGTTCCCCGAGAAGCCACCGGCGATTGGAGTAAAACGTCAGACATCGTGCCGAACAATGCACGTTATGACCTAAACCAAAACATATTACGACGTGGTGATCCTAGTGTTGGCAGTGGTGCAAAGCAACAACCACCCCCCCCCCCCCTGGAAAACTCAACACATTCATCCAATAATACCGTGGCCTTAATAAGTACAGAAAATTTCAGGCAACGGTCCTTTTTCACCAGCGAGGCAAAACACATAACAACACGTCGGAGACACGTAGAGCACGACCGCGAAAACCCACGCAGTCGTAACAGCACACCGATCGAGCACAATACCTGAAGGGCATCACCACGCTGACTCGTGAGCTTGGCAATCCAACCTCGGCCTCAGCTGAGGGCTGGCAACGAGCCAGGGCCCGCTGGCATCTCGTGAATTACAGAAAACAAAATGCCTGGCACGGCACCTGCTCCAGAGCAGAAATGGACAAATACTAACACGATAATGAAATAACAAGTCGTTGGTGTCTGGACCTGCGCAACACAATAGTGGCGTTACTGATAGAATGGCTATGAGAAAGTTCTTCAATAACCCAGGAAAGCCTCCCCGAGTGTCAAAACTGTTTATTTAAAAGGGCGCTGTGCTGTTTTGGCAAATGCCGTGAATCGATGGGAGTGTTTTGGCACGTGGGAGGAACCCGGAGAACTCAGGAAAATCCCACACATACGAGGGGATAATGCTCAAAGCTCGGTACAGATGCGTCCAATCCGCTTTCTGTACTGCTTTCTATTATCCAATTTTCAGCTTTCCTTGGTTTGGGAGTTTAACAAACCTCTGCACGATCCACTCAAACTTGGCCTTGGCGACGTTGCCAGGCATCACTGCGCCTGCCTCCGTCGCCTTTCTAAATTGGAGATGGAAAGATGATGACTACCTCGCCCGCTATACAGATGTCGTCAGTTTGATCCCGACCCTGCCGCCTGTATATTTGGAGTTTTCCCGTCTCTCTCTCTCTCTCTCTCCCTCTCCCCATGGTATTCCCCTCCACATTTAGAAACACGTGTTTAGAGTATTTGGCTGCTATAAATTTCCACGCGATAAGCCACCCCGTTGCGCTATTATTTGTGATGGCCAGGGTCGCTTCTGAAAAAAACGAGCTACATAGCTCAGTGGGCCTTACCTGGTAAGATAAAAAAAGTGACGTTTTCATTACATTTTTCGTGACGCCGACGTCAAAAACCGAGGCAATGGGCCGCAGCCTGATGCGCACGTTGGTAGGGTGGGGGGAACAGTGGCAGTTGGGGGCAGCGTGGGGGGGGGGAGGTGAAAGAACAGAAGGATGAGGAGGAGCAGAGGTCACGGAGGTCGCGGAGGTCACGGAGGTCGCGCAGCTTGAGTGACGGCAGCTCGCTCAGCGTTTGGCCGTAATTGCGCGCGATCCCACGTCCATTTCGCACGGCGCGTCGTTAGCAGGTGCCCTCCCACACCGCCCTCGGCGCTTAATGGAGCGGTCTAGCCTGCACGTTTCCCAGGAACGAGGCGGCCCTGAGCAGCGTATTTCGGCAGGGAGTACGGTTCACCTCAAAGCTGCCTCTCTCTACTCGAGCGTCGGGGTCGCCAAACGCGGTCGGGGTGGGACGAGTCAGGCCTGGGGTTCAGGAAATATGAAGGGAAGCCAGGAGCAAAGGCAGGTGGTTGGGAGTGCGGTTCCAGATAAGGGTCTGAGCCTCTTCCCTGCCCCCGCTCCCCACCAAACCTTAAAAAAAAAAAAGTTTTTCACAATTTTTTTCATCTCGATCGTGCTATCGGCGTCGTGTCACGGGATGAAGAAAGAATTCGGAACTCTCGCAGAGAGCAGTGCAACCCTGCCTGTTAGAGAACATCCCACGGAAGCGGATACTGTAGAACTACCTCTGAGATTCCCTTCAAGCGACTTAGTAAGGAGAGGGAGGGGGCAGCACTTTCCCATCCGCCTGGTCAAAGCAAGTAAACGTTTGTAGAAATTGATATATTTTAGTTTCAGGGCTGGGCTTTTAACATAATTAAGCAGATTTTTCTTTTTCCACAGTGCACAGAATAGAACGCTCATTAATGCGTCGCACGCTAATGGAAAATTTCATACAGAAAAAAACCGGGGCACAAGAACACGTGTTCCTTTCATCGCAAAGAGTGATTAAATAATATGCTTTCGTACAAAACTACAATGGCTCGTGCCTCTGAGCGGTCATATTTTTGCAACAAAGGATTATTTTTTTCAAAGGGGAGGAGAGAGGAGCGGGCGGGGGGGGGCTCATCTGCCGACTCCGCACGCCGTTCGCCAGCGTAACACCCCAAATTGTTTCCCTGCAGCTGTGAACGCACGACGCGGCGGTGCAAGTGGCGCGCCGTAATTAAACGTGTAAATCGTAATTGAACCGTTACTTATTGCGATTATCTGATTAATACGTCGGGGAGATTTAAATCAATTAATTGTTTAGGTATTTTGCACCTCCGCTCCACTTAACTCGCACGGCCGGGGGTCTCCGTGTAACCCTGCGGGCTGTCCACTCGGTCCAGTTACCCTTAAGGACCCCTTTCTCGTCCTCCTTGATGAATGCCCCCAATCTGGCTTCGAAGCTTTCCGTGTGTTTGCGGTTTTTTTTTTGTGGGGGGGGGGGGGTGGGGGTATTTTAGAACGTCCTGACAGGGGAATAAAACTCGAGGCGAGAGAAGTCGCAAGGTGAGGCGGACGTCACGGACGGATGGTAAAAACAGCAACTGTAAAATCACCCCCGCCCCCCCAAATATATTTTTTTCCTGGGGGGCCGGGATAGGCAGTAGCAGCAGGGGTAGTGATAGGGGTTGGGGTAGTGATAGGGGTTGGGGTAGTGATAGGGGTTGGGGTAGTGATAGGGGTTGGGGTAGTGATAGGGGTATGGGTGGTGATAGCGGTTGGGGTAGTGATAGGGGTTGGGGTAGTGATAGGGGTTGGGGTAGTGATAGGGGTTGGGGTAGTGATAGGGGTTGGGGTAGTGATGGGGGTTGGGGTAGTGATAGGGGTTGGGGTAGTGATAGGGGTAGTGATAGGGGTTGGGGTAGTGATGGGGGTTGGGGTAGTGATAGGGGTTGGGGTAGTGATAGGGGTTGGGGTAGTGATAGGGGTTGGGGTAGTGATAGGGGTTGGGGTAGTGATAGGGGTTGGGGTAGTGATAGGGGTTAGGGTAGTGATAGGTGCTGGGGTAGTGATAAGGGTTGGGGTAGTGATAGGGGTTGGGGTAGTGATAGGGGTTGGGGTAGTGATAGGGGTTGGGGTAGTGATAGGGGTATGGGTGGTGATAAGGGTTGCGGTAGGCCATGTCGTAGCTGGGAGGAGTGGGCAGGGAGTAGCAGCAGGCTGGGCAAGGGAGAAGAGATGGGGGTTGTTTTAAGGGAGGAACAGAAGCCCCCCACCACCTCCAAATAAATGTTGACGAAATGTCATTATTCCCGGCCCGTGATATTATTCGAGAATGGTAACGAAATGTTTTACTTTTTTGCATTTTGCTCACACCATTAGCCTAAGTGTAACATTTAGCCACTAATTAAACACGCTTAGCATTCATTGTAACTGGTGAATTGTTATGCACGCAAATTTCCACGCAAGCATCGTCAGCATTAAAAATCGACATCACACCTGGAGCACAAAAACATGATCTGTATTTGTTTCTCTCTCTCTCTCTCTCCTCGCGATTCGATGAATTTTCACAATTCAGGGGCGAAGCTTCACTTTCAATTGTTCCATTGTGGGGAACTTGCACCTTTGAACCCATGGCACACACTATGGGAAAAGGAGTGGAGGTAAGGATGTAACAAACTGCGAAAGAGTAAAAGGAATGGGGAAGGGAGGAGAGAAAATAAAGAGTGGGAGATAAGGGGAAAAGATTTAAAATGAATGGAGAAATGGGATCCACGGGTCAGGAGAGGGGGAGGATGGGCAGGAAGATGCTGCATAAGGGCCTCGACGCTGCACGGAGCGTCATCTGTTTTCACAGTGGGCGGGAGGAATTCCCAGTGGGAGTGGCCACACAGAAGTCACGTGATTCACGGGAGACTTGAACTGATTTTGATAGAGAGATCGAGATCTTAAGATGTAGCACCCCTCATGGCTGCCCGGATGACGTGGAACTAATTACAGGCCACAAATAGAAAACAACAGATTGTCGCGTGCACGTTTAAATTAATCCATCGCGAAGCGTAAAGCTCAAAATTAATCGGTTAATTAACGTACCGTTATGGTCTGCATGAAACGTCGACAGAACGGCATGGAGCTCGGGTTAAATAAATTAGTGTCGAGTTTGGATGAAGCATAATGTATTATCCCTCAAGTGCAATTCGATTAATTTATAATCTTTCTAAACAACCACGAGGCTTAACAATCAATCATTATTATAATGAAAGTAAAACAGCAACCCAATACGATGTGCACTGACTTTAACAAAATTGCAGGCAACACTTTTCAGAGGCGGCAGAGCCTCCAAAACAATCATCGCTGTCTGTACAAACAAATAAAGGCGAGACGATTAGAATGACATTCCGAAAAAATCGTATGCGCGCATGATGGGACACTGAAATATAAACGAAATGACGTTTCAATTAATTTTAAATAATTAATTATCGTTCCTCCCCCCCCCCCCCATCACCGCCGTGCATTAAAATATTCACGGTCCATCTCACGAGTCGGTGAAAACAAACGAACCAATGAACGATAAACCACAACTGATTGTCAGACGCGGCTCGATGGGACGAAACGGCCCGTGTCTTGGGCAAGGTTACAGCTATCCGAGTTATAACCGCTACGTCTATAAAACACCGTTGGGTGAAAGAGCCGAGGCAATTAATAGCGGTTTACAGGTAACGGCGCACGCTGCCGGGGGTTGGCGCTGTTTATATTCGCGGGGTGGAAACCACCCCAACACCCCGCGCCCAAAACACGTAAATAAGCGCCGCAATTCCTTTCCGCAGAAATGGACTCGACTCCCGCTTAAGTGCACACTTAAAAAAATTGTTGTTGCGTGTCTGTAAAAAAAAACAGACGAGAAACAACTTGTAAAAATTATTTTTTTGTATTCTTGGAAATTGCTTCGTTTGATAGTGCAATTAGGCCGGCTCATTAATGCATGAATGATTGCCGTAATTAAGGCAATGCTAATGGGTGCAATTTATTGGGGGAGGTGGGGGGGGAGCTGGGAGAGCCGCCACGGTCCGGACCGCACGGGGTGGACCAGTACCGCCGATTAGCCATTCCACGCTACGACCGACGACCCCTCATTACTTCTTCGCGAGCGTCCCCTTTAATGGCAATGGGCAACGCAGCCAAGCGGAAGGATAAAGCGCGGCGCCCGCAAAGTGGTTCGCGTCTATCTTGCAGGCCCGGACGCCGTTGCTGTTTTTCCTAAATAAAAGCAGAAAAGAAAAACTTTCTTTGAAGAAATGCCACTTCACAGAACGTCAGAGTCGAAGGGCTTCATCGAATTGGCGCACACGGATGCCAGGACTTACGCCCGAAGTGGGTGGGGGGGGGGGGAGCTTACCTATGTAGCACGGTTGGCTACGTACGATGTGACCACCACAAATCCTCCAACGCCAGAAGCGGTGGTTAGCGTTGGCTTGGGTTATCGGCAATGTGAGGCCTATCATCAAAGCAGGCCCCTGCGCCTCCCCTAGCACGCCGACTGGGTCGACTACACCTGACCTGGCTGAAGGTACGTGGAGCGCACCATGCGTATAGACACAAAGACAAAGATCCCTGTGCAGCCTTAACAGACTGCTGGGGGCAAGTGCTGTTGATGAGCACCTATTAAGGCCGGCACGGCGCATCGGGGGTGGGTGGCCAGCACCACGTCTGACCGCGTTTGTCTCCCTAATGGCGATGTTTACACACCGCACCAGGTACTCAATTGCCGTCGAGTCGACCTCGGGGAGGCCCGGACCGATTCAGATAATTTAATCGTCACTGGCGTTGGCCGTGGGCAGGGAATCGAACTCGGGTTGCTGGGTTCACAGCGCAGCATAGCGCTAAACCGCCACACTACTGCTCAACGCACGCACACATGCTATCGCTGGGCAACGTAAGTGCCCATACCACGCAAAACCAACATCCATCATTGTTGCTCCGTGCGTACGACCTGGACACTGGTACACACATCACATCGTGGTTCATGTCGCTCAGCACAGGCGGATTGGCCTACTTACTGGCAGGCTGGCTAACTGACTAACTGGCCGACCAATTGGCTGCCTCATTGGTTGGCCGACTGGCCGGCCGGGCAGGCGGTCCGGCCGGCTCACTGACCTGCAGTGCACCACCATGGGCCCCACGTCGGGCGGGTTGCAGGCCTTGACGCGCCGCAGGAACGCCAGGAAGGGCGTCGGGTACTCGGGGACGCCGTGGTCTGGCCACGCCGTGAACTGGAACTGCCGCACCTCCCGCTTCTCGCTGGAGCCCGTCTGGTGAACCGGGTGAACCGATGTGGGGGAGGCGTGGGGGGCAGGGGTTTAATTAGGGGGGGGGGGGGAAGGAGAGAGTTGCAAGGAGGTGGTTAACCTGTGCAGGTCTGGGGAAATGAGCCATCGGGGAATGCGATCACACTGTTGAATACATCAATGGTGATGCTACGGACAATGACATTTCTTTCATCTTCACCAAGTCTTAAATCTTTTTCACGAGGGTCCTGAGGAGCGCGCAAAAAAAAAACCCCCTAAAATATTCGCTCTCCGCGTCACAGCGGAGGTTAAAAATCCCGTAATGTTATTCCAAAAAGGATAAGGCCATGTGTGCCCTGCGTCACGGTCCAACTCTTGACTAATTTGAAAACCACACGGCAACGTCACCCCAACTGCCAGGCTGGTACCCATCTGTTCTGTAAAGCAAACAGAGACTTGAGGATGCCACCTTCGTGATAGCGTGCGCGCTATAAGAACGGCATGCATACCTAATGTGCAAAATGTATGTGTATGTATGTACGTGTGCACGTGTGTGGGGAGAGCTGGCGGAGTGGTTAGCGCACTGCGCTATGAACCTGGCGCCCCGAGTTCAATTCACACTCACAGCCAACACCAAGTGACGATTATATGAACTGGTCCTGGGCCTCCTTTAAGTCGACCTAGCCTCAAATGAGTACGTGGTGTGGTGCAACCATTGCCACTAGGGAGACAAAAGCGCTTGTGCGTGGTGTTGGCCACCCACCCGTTAATTTACCTTGCCGACCTTTATAGGTGCTCGCTAACAGCACTTTCCCGAATGGCCTGCAAATGCTACACGGGGCAATTTTTTTCGTTGTGAATGTGCACCGAGCCTGGCACAATCGCCGCGGTGACGTCACCACCGCTTTGCGGCTCACGCCGGTTGTTTCGTTCCCGTTGTCGCCGCTGTTTTGCGCACGCCACTGCCACGAAGTGCCCTCACCTTGCCGAGGCTGAAGGTGCGAACGTGGTACGTGGCGAGCTCCAGCGAGTCCAGCAGCGACACGTGTATCGTCGCGTACGTCTCCGCCCCGCGGCTCGGCCAGTACTGCTCGCACTTCACCTGCAGCCGGACATGGGACGCCGAGTGGTAAAATTGACGGAGCCGTCGTTGTTCGGCGCGCAAAACAAAACAACAATGTCGCTACAGCGGCACGAGGCCCCGGAGCCTAAGGAGAAGGAGGTTTGCAAGCGCGCGTGCCGCTGACGTGCCAGCAAATAAAAAAAGCGTCTTGGGTCACACGTCTCGTGTCACCCCATTCCAATGCCCCTGGTTGCAGTCTCGCCAATGGGACCCCCCCCCGACCACCCAATCCCCCTCCCCCGGCTGCCCCCCCCCCCCGCCGCCACCCCCCCTCCCCCGGCCTGGGCCGCCCACCCCCCCCCCCCCCCAGTGGCAGCTTTACTAACGTGGCACGATGTGTAACGCGGCACGTGCTTGCAAGTGGGCGCGAGTCTTCCAGTAGCGTGACCACGAGGGCGTGTGCAGGGCGAGGGGCTCGCTCTCTCAACCCACGTGACGGGTTGCTGTGATAATGATTGCACGTGTTCTCCGAAAGGGTATCGCTCGAGTTGACTTAATCCCACAGAAATATCGCCTTTGCAGCTATATTAAATTGCTATTGCTGTGTCTAATTCTCGCCGAATAATAGAAATTAGTTGGGAATTTCAAACCGCTAATTAATTAACTTTTGGAACACCCCCCCCCCCCCACCGATAATTTGCCTAATTCCCATAATTCCAGCTCTAATGGATTAAGATACATGATTTTACGGAATGTAATTTTCAATAGCTTGGTTGTCCTATAATTGCCACCCACACATCATATGGCGTACATTTATCTGAGCCAGCAATAACCTATTATAGTGAAAGCCTTTCGGTGAAAAGCTAATTCAACATTTTTTAGCGTGCGCAAAAATTACCCCTGTTAAAAAGGTTGCTCTGCCCCCTACGCTCACCCCATTCGAGTGTAATTGCGAGCCCTCTGCTTTAGTCCTCTTTATCTCTAATTGCTCAATTTTGTTCCTAGGAAAAGGTCCCCGTGTTGTGCATTCACTCGTGGCTTCGACTAATTTTCACCTGCGTCATTAGTTCACTTTGTTAAGCGTCACCTGCTCGTGAATCATTCCTCAAAAATATTTTCAAGGGGTCGGTTGCGGTGTTTTAGTTTTTTCTTATTGGGCCTGAGATCTCCCCGGAACGGAAAGCATGTCTTCACGTCGAAACGATTTTCAATGCTCGCCAAAAAAAACTGTGTGTGACACACTCGATGGTCTCGGCATTTTGGAACTGTTCCACATTCTTGCCAGTGGGACAAAACAAATCACGGCAAGAAAAAACACTGCCAGGCGGTGCCTGGTGTGCTCATCGTTCTTTTATTTCAGATATTGCATTTGCTTTATGAGATTTCGGTGAAGACGACAGCAGAACGCCGAATATATGAAGAAGGCGGCCGCTACCAGCGACCCAAGCACCTGAGAACTGTGGCTGATGATGGCAGTAAGCCACTGTCTGGTGTAAGGAATGAAAGGTGCAAAGTTGTTCCGTAATATATTTGATGCAATGTGATGTAATGTGATGTTCTCAGTGTTCCCGAGCCGCACATGAGATCACGGACGCTCCTGGAGACAGGTGGCAAAGCCTAGGCCATTGTTTCCTGATTGGCATGGGCAGCATCACTGCAGCTCTCTCCGTGGCAAAGGTGCAGATTTGCAACTGCTTTTCCTGCACCACTGCTGGTGAAAAGGCCTCCACCTCCATCCACCCAAGAGAGTAAGCTCGAGAGGACCACTGCAGGTTCTTTTTTTTTTGGCCTAACCTTTTCCATTTTGGCCAGACATCAACGGAGGAGGCGGAAGTACCCGTACTTGACCCCAACCACACAGGACCTACAGTCGCCATTTATACTGCCGAGGAGATCGAACCGGCGAACTTTTAATTGCAAGTCCAGTGTGCTGACCGTTACAACCACAGTGGCGGCAGCTGTAAAAGAGGAGTGCGTACAGTGAAGGAAAAAAGTATTTGATCCCCTGCTGATTTTGTACGTTTGCCCACTGACAAAGAAATGATCAGTCTATAATTTTAATGGTAGGTTTATTTGAACAGTGAGAGACAGAATAACAACAACAAAATCCAGAAAAACGCATGTCAAAAATGTTATAAATTGATTTGCATTTTAATGAGGGAAATAAGTATTTGACCCCTCTGCAAAACATGACTTAGTACTTGGTGGCCAAACCCTTGATGGCAATCATAGAGGTCAAACGTTTCTTGTAGTTGGCCACTAGGTTTGCACACATCTCAGGAGGGATTTTGTCCCACTCCTCTTTGCAGATCTTCTCCAAGTCATTAAGGTTTCGAGGCTGACGTTTGGCAACTCGAACCTTCAGCTCCCTCCACATATTTTCAATGGGATTAAGGTCTGGAGACTGGCTAGGCCACTCCAGGACCTTAATGTGTTTCTTTTTTGAGCCACTCCTTTGTTGCCTTGGCCGTGTTTTGGGTCATTGTCATGCTGGAATACCCATCCACGACCCATTTTCAATGCCCTGGCTGAGGGAAGGAGGTTCTCACCCAAGATTTGATGGTACATGGCCCCGTCCATCGTCCCTTTGATGCGGTGAAGTTGTCCTGTCCCCTTAGCAGAAAAACACCCCCAAAGCATAATGTTTCCACCTCCATGTTTGATGGTGGGGATGGTGTTCTTGGGGTCATAGGCAGCATTCATCCTCCTCCAAACACGGCGAGTTGAGTTGATGCCAAACAGCTCCATTTTAGTCTCATCTGACCACAACACTTTCACCCAGTTGTCCTCTGAATCATTCAGATGTTCATTGGCAAACTTCAGACGGGCATGTATATGTGCTTTCTTGAGCAGGGGGACCTTGCGGGCGCTGCAGGATTTCAGTCCTTCACGGCGTAGCGTGTTATCAATTATTTTCTTGGTGACTATGGTCCCAGCTGCCTTGAGATCATTGACAAGATCCTCCCGTGTAGTGCTGGGCTGATTCCTCACCGTTCTCATGATCATTGCAACTCCACGAGGTGAGATCTTGCATGGAGCCCCAGGCCGAGGGAGATTGGCAGTTCTTTTGTGTTTCTTCCATTTGCGAAAAATCACACCAACTGCTGTCACCTTCTCACCAAGCTGCTTGGCAATGGTCTTGTAGCCCATTCCAGCCTTGTGTAGGTCTACAATCTTTTCCCTGACATCCTTGGAGAGCTCTTTGGTCTTGGCCATGGTGGAGAGCTTGGAATCTGATTGATTGATTGCTTCTGTGGACAGGTGTCTTTTATACAGGTAATGAGCTGAGATTAAAAAAGGAGCACACTCTTAAAGAGAGTGATCCTAATCTCAGCTCGTTACCTGTATAAAAGACACCTGGGAGCCAGAAATCTTTCTGATTGAGAGGGGGTCAAATACTTATTTCCCTCATTAAAATGCAAATCAATTTATAGCATTTTTGACATGCGTTTTTTCTGGATTTTGTTGTTGTTATTCTGTCTCTCACTGTTCAAATAAACCTACCATTAAAATTATACACTGATAATTTCTTTGTCAGTGGGCAAACGTACAAAATCAGCAGGGGATCAAATACTTTTTTCCTTCACTGTATATATTTTCTAGTCTATTGGTTCCTATCTGCCCCCTCCACGCTCACGTGAACTGGTGGAATTTGTTTAAACACGCAACCAGTTTTGTCCTCATGTGGCTCATGATTAGAGGCAGGATCGCTAAACAAACACTGCTGTTTTACCAGATGTCATTGGCAAGTGCCCTCTCTCGACACCATGGCCCATCAGCACAAAGAACCACGGCGTCACAGTGGTTTTATTCGCTATTTCTTAATTAGGCTCCGCGAGGCACAATGAGCTGATCAAAATAACGTCCTTTTTTTTTCCACAGCATTAAACATGTTGCTTTGGCAGAATTGCATTAAGTGGCAATCATCCCATGAATGCATTTTGTCTTAATTAAACAGCGAAAATAAAGCCACGACATTCTTCTCGCGCAAATACTGTACGTAACTAATTCGCTTCGTTCCACCAATTACTACGTGTCGCGAGAGCACGCGCCCCCCTCCTCGCTGTCTCAGCACGACGAAAATCTGGGCCATCTGCCTGCCTTCAGGAGGTTGTCCTTTTCCGAGGCAAGTTGCCGTGTGCCATCACTCCTCGAGCTCGCCTCGTCACGCGTCGCCCGACGGCGGCGGCAACTGCAGATTTAGAGCTTTGGCTATTTTGAGCCAAAAAGACAGATGGGGGACGGGGGGGGGTGGAGGAGGGGGCGGTGGCGGGGGGGGGGCGTGTGATTTTGGGGGGGGGGGGAGGTGCGTGAGGTAGAAATGCTCCATGGGAGCCGAGGAGTAAAACCACGAGGGATGGGGTGAGGTGGAGACACACCGGTTAGCGCACTGCGTGCTATGAACTCAACGACCCGAGTTTGTATTTCGACCACAGCCAACGCCATTACATGACCAAGCTAATTTATCAATCTGCTGCTGGATGGAATGGGGCCTCCCTACTCCGTGCTGAACGTGAGAGTCATTTGACCATACCTCACCACACTGGTCAGTGCCTGCTGGTGGTGGAGGGGGGGGAGGAACACAGCACAAGAGTTGGGTTTAGTTGTAATGCCCTCTCCTGCCTGCAGCGCCTACTGCACCTGCATTTGTGTGCATGGAGGTCGTCCATCATCCAAGCGCTGTGCAGGGTCAACTCTCTTGAACCCCCTGAGGCATGACGGATCAGGCACACTGAGCGCGATTTGGTCAAAGGCCGAACATCGGTGGAGAGCGATATCTAAAACCGGTCCAGGAGACCCCCACATAACCAGCGTGATGAAATAGGGCCAAACAATCCCTGGTAAGCTGCGTGGCATGCAGAAGCTTTCATTTAGCTGTGGATTGACAACGGGCTATGCATTTTTTTTGTATTATTCTAACTCAATCAATCCCTGGCATCGCTTAAATCTATATCCACATTAAATTCCCGGGGCGACTTCCCAACAGAGCTTTCGTTAATGCGTCACGTAATTAAGCTGCAGCACAGGGGGGCAACGTGAGAACAATAGACCTTATTTAAGTAATTAGGGCCTTTGCACATGGTGAATTAACAAGCGAGAACGAGCTATGGATCCCCAGTCAACAAATCCCCACCCCCCCCCCCCCTCCCACTTTGAGCTTACTGGTTGGTGAATTTCGACCGAAAAACCAGAGTGAGTGCTGTTGGCCCAGGATGGTCACCCCTTTGCTCATGCAATTTTCACCCGAGTGGCACTAAGCCGATATCAAAGGCAGAATAATGACAGGCCGGCACCCAAATCTCTGGATCAGTGTACGTCCTGGGGACCGTGTGGCCAGGAAAGTCCCGCTCCGCGGATCTTCTCGACTGTCAACACGTCAGAAACCCCTTATTTATTGCTCTGCGCGCCGCTCCGTAATGCATGGGGGCGTGTCTGCCGCTCGACAGCCACCGGGGGGGAGGGGGGGGGGTTGATAACACCGCAGAGGGGTTCTTTTCTCGCGGTCGCGCTACGTCGCTCTCCCCCCCCCCCACTGTGTTTTTGGGGTCGCGCTGCGTGCTGCTTGGCACGGTGTGTCCGGCGCGAGGCTCGCCCGCGTGTAACGGGGGCTTCTTCAGGGACTGAAGAGAATCCCCAGGACTAGCGTTGTCAACTGTCCTGCTCTTGTCATATTTCACCTCCTTTTGGAGGGAGCTGCTGGCCCGTGAAATCTGCAAGTCTTCCTGTGACGTTAAAAGCCCATGTTTTTTTTTTAATTAGTAGAGTATTAATACACCCCAGGGGCTTAATTTCTCACTCGATGTTTTCCGGAATGCTCCAAAGGGTGAATTTGAATGGGGATTATCAGCATAAGGCACTACCACGGGAGTACAAGCTATGCCTATCCCTAATAATAATACATTAGTGTACCTTATATTCCTATAATACCATGAGGACACAATAAGTATCACGAGGACAAAATTATCTGAGATAGATAATTCCCGGAAACACCATTTTGGACTGTTCTGGATGAAATCAAATGCTAAATACACCAAATTTAAGGCAATGCATTTACTTGCAGCTCTCTTCCCCCCTGGTCGTTGTAGGATTTTTCTTATTGCCACGACCGGTTATGGCGTGGAGTGCCACGTCGGGGACATCACGCCGCATGGCACAGCATCCCGGCCCGAAAAAACAACGACGGAGGGTTGACGAACGTGGGCGTTCCTCGACGCAAGGCCGAGGACGATGTTCACAGGAGGAAGTTGAAAGTGAACGGATCCGTTTATTTGTGGCAGGCGAGGCATCTGCGATGCAGCATCTTGCTATATGGCTTTTCCCATCTTCACACGACCGGTTTTATGGATTCATTTACGGGTTTAGAGGCACGCGTTACGCGGATCATGCGCGGAAATCTGACGGTAAAAGAATGATCACGGCGCATTGCGTTCGGAGAGAGTGGGATAAACGCACGGTCATGATTATGCGGATGAAAGAAAATTCTAATTAAATAATGTGGAACGTGCCATATGCTCGGAAAAAAATACATAATGACAGATGGCTCCCACAGTTTGCCATAATTCGAGTGCACTCGGGTCAATTTAGTTCACAACAGCAATACGCTAAGACGGCCCGCGTGTCAACGCGCGTCGGGAAAAATCATCGGAGCTTTACAACAACAAGCAAAGTGGTTTCTGGCACGAATGAGTCTGGGGCATCTCCTGGAGCCACTCGTGGAAATTCCACATTCCTACGGCGGGGGTGGGTGAATGCATAGGACAACCGCGGCTCACTTGCCCTCAAAGTGCTACTTTATCTTCTTCGCCCCCAGAGGGTTGATGCCCCGAGTATGACCCCTGACGGAGACTGGAAGTCACAACTTTCTGATTTCGAGACACCAGTGGTGCCAGCTTAGCCGGAGACTTTATGAAAAACCTCATCACCTTAATTTCCAGCGAAGTACATGTAAAAAATATGTAGTTCGGTACAAGATAAAAAAAATAATAATCTATAGTTGCTGTATAAGCGTGGAAAGCGGCATAATTACCATCAATCACGCCATAGTAATTCGTTACTCCAAATTAAACAAGGCTTCAGCACTGAAGGATGAGAACTAGAAGGTCATTTTTATTTTACCAGGTGAGGCCAACTGAGCTATATAGCTCTTTTTTTCAGGAGCGACCTGGCCACAAATGATAGCGAACAAAGTGGCTGATCACGTGGAGGGGAAAACCGGAGGAACCGGAAAAAAGACCACGTGACCAAGGTGAGAGAGACACGCAAACTCCAAATTTGCAGGCGTCAGAGTCGGGATCGAACCCGCGACCACCGGTATACCAGGCGAGGGAGTTAACATCTCACCACCGTGGTGTCCCTCAACCATTCTAAGAAATTTCCACATAATCGGAGGAGCAAGACCAGCTTCTCATCGTCATCCACAGCCATGATTGGTTAGCCAAAAGCCATTGCGAGGCTCTTTGCGTGATGGTTTATGCTTCTTGACGAGATCAGCAAGGCATTACGGTTCATTTGTGGACAGCACCTTGTGTGCAATGTATGTTGCATGTTCAACTTCGTTTAATGTATGTATGTTGCATGTTCAACTTCGTTCGCGCCATACATCGCCAACCGTGCAAATCGGAGGTGGCGGGGAAGGACAACCAACTGAACACAATGAGTGCGACCTCATAATATCCTGGCTGGCGTTCACGCAGCCAGAATATCAGGTTCCGTTAAATGACATCTTACCGCACGCTCCTCCTCCTCTAGGAGTCCCTTGGTCCTCCCACTCCACCACCCCCCCCCCTCCCCATCCTCCGCCCCCAACCACCATAATTAGTTTAAGAATCGTATTCGGACGAGCGCAGAACATTCGTTAATTCCGTGGACATTTAACGAGTTCGGTCATTACTTATTGTGTAATTTCGTGGGCAGGAATGTCCCTTCCTCCTGTCACCCATGAGAGGCTTGCCAATTTTCTGCCACATCTAAGGCCTGCAGTCACTGTGACCCTATACCCAGTACCTCCAGTACTGGGAACACGTGTGCCAAACTGGTGGTAAATTATCACAACATGTTGAGCAGGTAATGTGCTGCTCATGATGTGAATATTTCAATCAAATTAACTGCTCGTGCGGCACCGTGGCTGGAGCATGATCATCATTTGTTTGAGCTTGTTGTCCTCCACCGCATCTTGTCTCTCCGGTATTTCGGCCAACTCCCTTCCGTGCACTCTCACTTCCTCCAGGAAACCAGCCCCCCCCCCCCGCCCCTTCACCCCAATGTCTCCCAACCCTCCACCGCTTCCAGACCCAATAGCAGATCAACTTCAAGATCACATTCACCAATCTTTAAGATCCTCCATGGACTTTCCCATGCCCACCTCTCGCAGCCCGTTTCACTCTAATCCCCTCCGCACACTCTCCGCTCCAGCAATCAATCCTTTCTTGCACCTCCGATTAGCACGCTTGGCTACGTACGGTGCGAAATAAGTTTAAGATAAATTCCCAGTCGGGGATCTAGTTAATATGTTATCCCTCTGCCGGTTGACAAATAAGGTACTACTTTGTTAACAATAAACTACGGCTGTTTATTTACCTGGCGTAGTCATGTGCAATTGTCACGGCTGGTTCAAGGCCCTACACAGGAGATGAGTACTGCCCGGCACTAATTTTGAGAGGAGAAGCATTTCGACTGGCACATTTTTGTTTCTCATCAACAATCATCAAACATCGACTTGTGAAATCAGGAAGTGCACTGCTCATTTTGCCTATAATACACACGGACAGATTGCCGTTTTTCACAATCAGACCACAGCCCATTGAGACCACTAGTGAAGGGAAGCCATTTCTTTGACGGAAGAAAGACATCGCCTGCAGAAGTAGGGAGTGTTCTAGGGATTCATGGGAAGATACGGTCACGTATACACAAACGCACGAATGCACGCAATCAAACACAGCATTCCCTCGTTATTCGCGAGAGATACGTTCCGGAGATGCTCGTGAATAGCACAGTTCGCAGACCATGATATTGTCTGACGAAAACCTATCTTTTTAAGCAATTACATCTATTAAATAAATAAAAAATAAGCTACTAAATACATGAAAATAATGATAACAACACAAAAAAGTTACTTGGTTATAATAAACATAAACTAAATAAATCTAAATATTGAATAATAGTTTATAAATGAAGTTACTTATGCGCAGCATCATCACACTATCTCATCTCTTTCTTTCCCTCTCTCTCGACGCAGTCGTGCAGAGTTCCAGATGCAATTTTTGCGCATCGCCAAAATTGCGGACAGCAAGTTCGTGAATAGCGAGGGAATACCGTACACACACGGACGCACAAGCACACGAACGCACAGGCGCACGTGCAAGCACGTGCACACATAGACACGAATGCACGCACACACGTGCACAGACACGCGCACTTACCCGTGCCCTCTCCTCCAGCCGCGTCATCATGACGATCGTGACGCTCCCCTGCTCCCACACCATCCTCCAGAAATCGCTGGTCGTCTCGGGCAGCGGACCCTGGGTGGCGATGTAGGCATTCTGCTTGCGGTAGCCGTCGATGTAGTTGGCGTTGATGTAGTCGCTGTTTTGCACGCCTGTCATTCAAATTACATCGTAAGCGATTACGTCTATGCATGCATGTTGAACTTCTTTCGCAGCGTACGTAGCCAATAATTTAGAGCACAGCCATGCAGTCGCCATCTCCCCTGCTTGTGGTAAGGCCTCAATTGGAAAGTTATATGGCCGGCGGGACTGTGGTGCGCGGATTTGTACGTATATGTATGTTGAACTTCTTTCGCACCGCACGTGGCCAACCGTGCTAATCGGAGTGTGCGGGGCAAGGACAACAAACTAAATACAAAAAGGAGTTGTAAAGAAATTAGTTTTCATTTTAGAAAACATTCTGTAACATGAACAGCAGGGAGACCCAGCCACGGTCTTGTTGCTGGCTGGGTGAAGTCCACCGCAAAGCCGGGGGGCCAGAAATCATGGTCACCGCTGTGCACAAAAACAACAATCCACCTCGCTCCTGCACCCATGAACCGATGCCAACTTTCCGTGGAGGCATTTTTGGATGCCTTCTCTCTATTGGGTGCCACTCTTTTTTCGTATCGACCACCGGCCATCACCTCTTCTCGCGAATGTGTCCTCCCAAAGCCCACTCGTAATGTTCTTGGCATTCAGAACAGGCCAACATTGGAGGCCCGACTGCCCATTCTGCTCTCAAGGAGGTCCGTTGCCCGGTACGTCAGCCTACTCTATACATTTCCCCGTGACAAGGCCGTGTAAATGATGAATACGGTGTTGTGCCTGCACATCCGTGCCAATTCCTGGCAATTGACACCCTCAATTTCCTGTCCAACATAGGCAATAAACAAATATTGGTTCAGCTTTCAACCAGCTCCACGTGAATGTCGAAAGGACTCTTTGCCACAGAGCAAACCCTCCTTCTCCCCTCGCTGTTGTTCAAATAACAAAACAAAAACAGACAAAGTGAGATAAAATATATAATAAAATCGGTCCCACTTTGGCGGGTCAAATTGAAGTGTTTTTTTTAAGACGGTAGATGCGTTGATAATTCACCCCCCTCTCCCAGGCGATCTGATGAATCTGATGAATTGTCACAATTGAGGGTCGTTGTTTTATTATAATTGTTTTTAAAGTTATGCATTCAGGAGGCCATCAGTGGTCACACAAATCCATTGGAAATAAAGTGAAAAACACCGGTTCTTATTCGAGCGAATCAATGCATTAATGTAACTATCACGAGCGGTTTTCGGCAAAGAAGCAGTCAGGCAGATTGACTGACAGACGGGCATCACACACGCACAGACTCTACACAAAGGGTAGCCAAAATATTATGAGAGAGAGAAGCCCCCCCCCCCCCCCATCAATGCAATCTATAAAGCAATAAAGTTGGGATTATTTTAAGTCCCTTATCAATACCGACAGACAGAGTAACAGGTGCGGCGTTTTATTGCATTGCTCATTGAAGCATCTCGATGCGTGGGCTCCTCGCAAGCGCTGGCTGTCGCTTCAGACCCCCCGCGTACCGCTCAGGCTCTGCAGGATGACGCGTGAGTGGTCGTACGCGATGACGTTGGCGTAGCGGTTCTTCGCCTTGTTCACCTCCAGGTTCGAGTGCTCCCACGTGAACTGCTGCCCGGGGTCGATTGACTGCGTTTGGTGGGAGGCGCGCGGAAAAAATAACAACGTCGAAGTGCATCAGCATTTGAGGCGTTGGCGAGAGTGCGGGAGAGAGTGTGGGAGAGAGTGTGGGAGAGTGTGGGAGAGTGTGGGAGAGAGTGTGGGAGAGTGTGGGAGAGAGTGAGAGAGTGTGAGAGAGTGTGGGAGAGTGTGGGAGAGAGTGTGAGAGAGTGTGGGAGAGTGTGGGAGAGAGTGCGGGAGAGAGTGTGGGAGAGAGTGTGGGAGAGTGTGGGAGAGTGTGGGAGAGAGTGTGAGAGAGAGAGTGTGGGAGAGAGTGTGAGAGAGTGTGAGAGTGTAAGAGAGTGTGAGAGAGTGTGAGAGAGAGAGTGTGAGAGAGTGTGAGAGTGTGAGAGAGTGTGAGAGAGTGTGAGAGTGTGAGAGCGTGTGGGAGAGTGTGGGAGAGAGTGTGAGAGAGAGAGTGTGGGAGAGAGTGTGAGAGAGTGTGTGAGAGAGTGTGGGAGAGTGTGGGAGAGAGTGTGAGAGAGTGTGGGAGAGTGTGAGAGAGAGTGTGGGAGAGTGTGAGAGAGTGTGAGAGAGTGTGAGAGAGTGTGAGAGAGTGTGAGAGAGTGTGGGGGAGAGTGTGGGAGAGAGTGTAGGAGAGAGTGTGGGAGAGAGTGTGGGAGAGAGTGTGGGAGTGAGTGTGGGAGAGTGTGGGAGTGAGTGTGGGAGAGAGAGTGGGAGAGTGTGGGAGAGAGTGTGGGAGAGTGTGAGAGAGTAAGAGAGCGTGGGAGAGTGAGAGAGTGTGGGAGAGTGTGTGAGAGTGTGGGAGAGTGTGTGGGAGAGAGTGTGGGAGAGAGTGTGAGAGGGGTGTGAGTGTGGGAGTGAGTGTGGGAGAGAGAGTGGGAGAGTGTGGGAGAGAGTGTGGGAGAGTGTGAGAGAGTGTGGGAGAGAGAGTGAGAGTGTGAGAGAGTGTGGGAGAGTGTGGGAGAGAGTGTGAGAGAGTGTGAGAGAGAGTGTGAGAGAGTGTGAGAGAGTGTGAGAGTGTGAGAGAGTGTGGGAGAGTGTGGGAGAGAGTGTGAGAGAGAGTGTGGGAGAGTGTGAGAGAGTGTGAGAGAGTGTGAGAGAGTGTGGGGGAGAGTGTGGGAGAGTGTGAGAGAGTGTGGGAGAGAGTGTGGGAGAGTGTGAGAGAGTGAGAGAGTGTGGGAGAGTGAGAGAGTGTGAGAGAGAGTGTGGGAGAGTGTGAGAGAGTGTGAGAGAGTGAGAGAGTGTGAGAGAGTGTGGGGGAGTGTGAGAGAGAGTGTGTGGGAGAGAGTGTGAGAGAGTGTGGGAGAGTGTGAGAGAGAGTGTGGGAGAGTGTGAGAGAGTGTGGGAGAGAGTGTGGGAGAGTGTGAGAGAGAGTGTGTGAGAGTGTGGGAGAGAGTGTGGGAGAGTGTGAGAGAGTGAGAGAGTGTGAGAGAGTGTGGGAGAGAGTGTGGGAGAGTGTGAGAGAGTGAGAGAGTGTGAGAGAGTATGGGAGAGTGTGAGAGAGAGTGTGGGAGAGTGTGAGAGAGTGTGAGAGAGTGTGAGAGAGTGTGGGGGAGAGTGTGGGAGAGTGTGGGAGAGAGTGTGGGAGAGTGTGTGGGAGAGAGTGTGGGAGAGAGTGTGAGAGGGGTGTGAGTGTGGGAGTGAGTGTGGGAGAGAGAGTGGGAGAGTGTGGGAGAGAGTGTGGGAGAGTGAGAGAGTGTGGGAGAGTGTGTGAGAGTGTGGGAGAGTGTGTGGGAGAGAGTGAGAGAGTGTGAGAGTGTGGGGGAGAGTGTGGGAGAGTGTGGGAGAGAGTGTGAGAGGGGTGTGAGTGTGGGAGTGAGTGCGGGAGAGAGTGAGAGAGAGTGTGAGAGGGGTGTGAGAGAGTGTGGGAGAGTGTGAGAGAGTGGGAGAGAGTGTGAGAGAGTGTGAGAGAGTGTGAGAGGGGTGTGAGTGTGGGAGAGAGTGTGAGAGGGGTGTGAGTGTGAGTTGGTCTGTGTGGGGGGCACTGGCGAAAGCGGTTGGCGCGCTGCGCTGTGAACCCGGCAGAGGCCTCCCCTAGGTCGACTCAGCCTCAAATGAGTACCTGGACCGATCCAGATAATCGTAACTGGCGTTGGTGGTGTTTAGCACGGTTGGCTACGTACTGTGTGAAAGAAGTTCAACAAACATACGTACATCTCCCGTCTAGAGCCCGTTTACAGCGAGGACGAGTCAATCCATGGGACATTCACCGTTCGCTTCCCTCCAAAGTAGAACTCGGATTTTCGACCTCAGGGGGATGATTGGCTAAGTCAACCCCCCCCCCCCACCCCCACCCCGCAGAGCCAAGATTTTAACTCAAAATCTGAGGATCCGGCAAGCTCGCGGTTACGTTGCGGGCGATTTTGCCGACGTGGCGTCGGAGTGCCAGCACTGCCCGCGCTCGCTCACCTCGTACTCCTGCGAGAACTTGAGACCGTCGTTGGCTCGGAGCCTCTCCACGTGCTCCTCGAGGTCGGCCACGGCGATGGGCGGGTGGTTCATCATGCCTGGAAAAGCGTCGCGGGGAGGGGGGGGCGGGGAGAGAGGCAGGCGGGACCGGACGCAGGTCAGAGGAGCACCGGGTCGGAGATACGGCACGCGGCACAACACAGGCCGCCGGGACACTGGGCGGTGGAACCCGATGAGCACGGGCGGCTACGTACGGTGCGAAAGAGGTTCAGCGCATTTACAAACCCTAGTTAGCGGAACCCTGGTCAGGGGAACGCCGAGCAGCGTGTAGCCCGCAGGCAGCGCTCACAAGAAACCGCCTGCAACTCTGACGCACAACTCGCCGGCAAAGGAAGGGCACCGCGGCACACACAGAGTGTTCACGTTGCGTTATATCCTCCGTATCTTTTTTTTTCTCTTTCAAAAAGCTGAACGTTAAAAGCGTATACTGGCCAGCTGGCACAGGACCGTGGAATTTCCACCCAACTAGCTCAGGGCGCGAACGGAGGTGAGCGCCCACCCTCCCCATCCTCGTTGGGACCCATGAGAGAAATTTAAATAAACTTAACCGCCACAAAAATCGTGCTTCATTATGTTGAGATAAACTTTGATTTAAAGCTTTCGTGACTGCAGGGATTCATATTCTTTGGTTCTTTCGGTAAAGTCACCACGTAGAAGGGAAACAATAAAATAATAAAATTATTGTTTTATATTTTTATTCTTTTATTGTTTCCCTTCTACGTGACTTTACCGAAAGAACCAAGAATATGTTGAGATAATTACCGCGTTAATTTGGAGGGCTTGGAAACAGCCTTGCACTGGGTCGACGTGACCTTGATGAATAAATAAATAAGGCTGACTGTTGCTCGCCGTGCCTCGTCCTACGACTACATACAGCGTGGAACATCGAGCTAACAGAGCCCTTTTAAACGCCAGCTTCACTCCTTAATAAAGTTATTTTGGCAGTGATCCTTCAGACATTAGTCTACAGTTATTAAATTCACCCCCGACGGTCGATTGTAAAAGAAAGCAATACAACTCTTCATTTTTTTCGATTTAAAGCTTTCGTGACTGCAAGGATTCATCTTCTTTGGTTCTTTCGGTAAAGTCACGTAGAATGAGAATAAAATGATAAATTAATAAAATAAAATAACACAATTAAATTCTCACGACGTTTCGGCCACAACACAAGCGGCCTTCATCAGGTGAAGGGACGAGACTGTCTGGAGGACTCCAGCGCTGTCCTCCAGACAGTCTGATGAAGGCCACTTGTGTTGTGGCCGAAACGTCGTGAGAATTTTATTGTGTTATTTTATTTTATTAATTTATCATTTTATTCTCATTCTACGTGACTTTACCGAAAGAACCAAAGAAGAAGACTCTTCATTCTTTGTGCCCTCCCCCCCGCCCCCCTAATGCCCGAGCAACAAAGCCACGTGGTCGAACTGGCATCGTGCCGCGTGAAATGTGTTGCACCGTTCCGGTTGCTTACCACGTCACTCTACCAATTTCAAATGAGCAGCGAGTGCACATTGCAGTGAAATGTAATAAATACGCAGAGAAATCCTAGCAGCTTGCAAAAGCGAGAAAGTTTTCGCTTTCTAGCGGCACGGGAAATGGTAAAAGTGCAACCCCGAAATGACTTTGCTCACGCAACTTCTAGTACAAGAGCAGCCTCCACGAGAGGGAGCTCTTGAAAGCCTCTTCAGAGGCTACATTTCATCCTCCTCTTCCACGCTGGACAGGAATCCCCTGGAGAGGTGTGGGAGGGGATTTTTAGAAACTCGCCCGTTATTTCAACGAACCGCCCTTGAAAATGAGCCTCAATGGACCCTTACTTGGGGCATATATATCCACAGCCATTTATGGCGGACGTCTTCCAGGATGCTTGCCTAGCATGGAAGCGGAGCCCAACTACCCTGCAGTCGGGCTCTCTGGAGCCCCTTCTAGTGGAGGCCTTCTGGCGGCAGTGGCGCGCGCAAGCAATTGCAGGGCTGCACCTTAACGCAACTCCCAATATGTTCCATCCATCCAAAACATTTGGGGGGTCTGGATGCTTGCGCTCTCCCCCCCCCCCCAAACTGTAACAAGAACCCAACGCGTCCACGTGGATTTCAGACGTCGGCAAAACGAAGGTGGTTTTAACTTTGGAAGCCTGCCAATGCGGGCTTTAAGCAAACCCCACCCAACAATGGGTTAATGAATGAATGCGTGATTGACTGGCAAAGCCATCCCACCACACCTGATATGAGAATTGTATCCAATATATTTGAAGAAAAACCCAGAGGAGACGTGCCACGATCTCCGAGTTTTTGTGGCTTGCACACGACCCACTGCGTGGGAAACACCAGCCCCCCCCCCCCACCCCCATGCCTGCCAAAGTCCCAACAAAAACAAAGTTCCCCCATAGAGCCTGAACAGACTGTTGGGGCAAGTGCTGCTAGCGAGCACCTAAGCAGGCCAGAACGTCGTCGTCATCGCAGAGATACAAATTCCATTTGGCGTCATCCTCCCACAAGGATGGTCAAGTTTGTTCCCCCACACCCCCCTCCCCCTCTTCTTCCCTATTGAACCATTTCCAACGAGTTAGCACCTCGCACTTAGCAGAGCGGGGACGAGAGCGTCGACTTTCATCACCCATCTTCGTCCCCCCCCCCCCCAAAGGGTTTTGAATTTGTTAATTGCAGCGTTACCTATTCCGTTACTTCTTCCCTCACTAATTAAGAAGTTTAAGGGTGGTCACACTCAGCATGGGCCCATAACGATACATAATTAAACTAGGCTTTCTTAAACAATTTAAGCCTTATTCAAAAAAGACCTGGGCAGCAATAGAGACGATGCCCTTCATTAGCCGTCTCTCTCCCTCTCTTCGTATATAAACGCTCTCCACTACGTAAAAGCACGAGCTAATATCTAGATTTGAAGTTTTCGTGACTGCAGGGATCCATAATCTTTGGTTCTTTCGGTAACGTCACGTAGTTATAAAAAATAAAATAAATTTAAATCACGACGTTTCGGGCGCAACACAAGCGACCGTCATCAGGTGGGACAGCCACAGCAAGAAACAATTGCTGAAGTAGCATGAGCTACTAATTTCGAGCCCCTGGGGATATCACGTGCAATTGAAAGTACTCCACATCAGTAATAATAATAGAGAATGCCCTTTAATTAATGCAAAAAAAACGCCTCCCCGAGTCTCAAGACTCAATCAGGAGGGGTGGGGGGTGATTGGTCAATCCCATCGATGAGAGTTTTCTGCGTGTGGCAGGAGAGAAGCAACCACAACACACGAGGGGGGGAGGGGGATGACATAGATCCGTGCAAATAAGTTCACGAACCTCATTCCAACCCAGTGGCTCATGTGCTCATCTTGATTTATAACTTTGATTTAGCTCTCCTCGATGTTTTCTCCATTTGTCCCGCGTTTTTGCTCAGAGGGGGGGGGGGGGGGGGGGGGAGGGGCACGTTGTTTCCTTCTCCACTCATTAATTGACCGGTAACATCTCAATATATAGAGGGCGGCAGAGCTTGGTGAAATTGTTGGCACCGGCTCACTGCGTGGCCGCTGCCTTCCCGCTTGCCAGTGGTTTCACGCGCCTTTGAGTCGCTCTCTCTATCTCTCTCTCCACAGCGAGGGAGAAAATAAATGTGGCGCTATGTGTCTTGACGTTTCTCCCCGCATACCGGGAGCTGCTTCCGTTTCCGAAAACGTGGCAAACAAGACAGGGTAGAATGCAAAAAGAAAACATCCGAGAGCTATAGGCTACAACCACCGAAACCGACGCAGTGGTATAAATTTGTTTTATTGAATTTTTCCGTGAGCAAGATTGGGTCTTAAGTAGCTGGGTGTAAGAGGGTACATCTTTGATGCCGTGGTTATTTGTGGTGGTTACTTGAATTGCTTCTGACTCACAGTGAGATCCTGATGGTGCTCACAGAATATTGCATTTTTTTTTGGTGTTTGTTTACACAGCATGGGCACAGTTCCGGTCACAATGCCAACGCAAGGAGGCATCGGCAACTTAAACGTTACAGGAATTCCCAGCATGCTTTGCAAATAAGCGGACGACGTCGTCATTCTCGCGCAAATGTTTGCACGCAAGCGAGCATCGTTAGTGGCCACCAGCTCAAGACGAGCTGAGATGCGGCAACAACAAACGACAAGACAACTGCATGAGCTGCTTTCATCCTTGCTAGGACTCACCAGCGCAGTATGGCCATCGTTTCTCACCACGTACACGTTCATTCACTCGCCCATATCAGCACACACACACGCGCGCGCACGAACGCACGCGCACTGAGTGATAGCGGTGGGAATGGTGCGGGTTCACACTTATTATTTATAATGCCATCAATAACACAGATGCACCGTGATGCTGCATCATTAATAAACCACGGCAGTGCTTCAAGATTAGCGCAGCATTGTCGGTGTGACTTTTAAGACTCCCTTTCTCGTAACCCTTTGACCCACTTATATAACACTCAGTAGGATGTACCGCTGCTTCATCATTGAAGAGACACTGAGCAGACACCACCAAATGCCTTGGGCTCGAGCCCAGACACGATTAGACTGGGTTCTCAAGGGCTACGAGTTGATGGCCTCTGTCTACTTCTTCAAAACTGAACAAAAGCACTTTGTTACGTAACTTGTGCTTGTTTTTTTTTAATTCTCATCCATCGCTCGGCTTGGATCGAAGGTTAACCGCTCGGTGCGGAAGGGAGGCAATCTCCAAAGTAGTTCTGCGACATCATCTTCCCGACGCCGTTTCACGAACCGGGTGGGATGACACGAAGGAGCAGCGAAACTTTTTCCGCGAGGACAAATTTTTTTTTTAATGAATCGGCTGGGTATTAACCGCTGCAGAAACATTACTCACCCGTGTAGAAAGCACATTTTTTTCCGCCCTACGCTCTCAATCAGGTGAGGAGAGTTGAAAATTTAATTTACCCTTCGGCTATTTTCTCCAAAACCCCATTGTATAATTCCACACTTTGCGTGCGCATGTGTAGGTGACACGAGGGATTATGCGATGTCATGCAAGAATGGCATGGTTTATTGATGCCAGGCAGCTTTGATTTGTATAAAAAGCGCGCGGGCGGTGCGAGGGCACTGATAGGGCTAGGCGGGAGAGCGTGCGGGCGTGCGGGCGGACGGGCGGGCGGGCGGGCACGTTGTGCCGCGCCGTTGTGCCGGGGCCATCTATAATGCATCGGGCGCTACGTGGCCTGCTGAGCGGGCGTCGCATCGGGATGTGCGAGCACGAGCGTGAGCGTGCGCGTGCAACATTGCAAATATTTAAGTTTCAAGACGCCGTGTATGGCAATAAAAAAATGATCACCAGAAAAGAAATTTTCTTGGGTGGAGTCTAGAGGAAATCGTTCTTTTTTTTTTAAACTTCACACGGCAACTTTTCTGCGATTAAGCCCGGGGGAAAAGAAACCAGTTTCTGCTGACGGATTTGTCGGCACGGTCATTGCTGCATACGAAATCCATAAAGACATCATCATCATCGATATTAGACGGTGTCTTTCCACTGCTGGATGTAGCCCACCGATCCACCCCCCCCCCCCCTCCTGTGGTGCTGCCTTGCCACACAGTGCTATCGTCCATCTCACTCTTGCGTATTCATTACAAACCCATCACTCGGTCACGGTGGTCGTACAGCAATTATACATTGTTCGTATTGATTTACACCTTCATGTGCGGTGTTGTCAATCCTTTGCTTAGATGAAGATTTTCCCCATGATCTGTCATTCATGGGGGTTGTTTGACCATATCTGCTGGAAGCACGACCAGCTCGGATATCACCTGCCATTCATACGGCTGTGAGACCATTCACACAGCTAACGTGAGACCATTGACATAGCTAGCGTGAGGCCATTCACATAGCTAGCGTGAGACCATTCGCACAGCTACTGTGAGACCATTCACACAGCTACTGTGAGACCATTCACATAGCTAGCGTGAGACCATTCACACAGCTACTGTGAGACCATTCACAAAGCTACTGTGAGACCATTCACATAGCTAGCGTGAGACCATTCACACAGCTACAGTGAGACCATTCACACAGCTACTGTGAGACCATTCACACAGCTACTGTGAGACCATTCACACAGCTACAGTGAGACCATTCACACAGCTACTGTGAGACCATTCACACAGCTAACGTGAGAACATTCACACAGCTACTGTGAGACCATTCACACAGCTACTGTGAGACCATTCACACAGCTACTGTGAGACCATTCACACAGCTAACGTGAGACCATTCACACAGCTAACGTGAGACCATTCACACAGCTAGCGTGAGACCATTCACACAGCTAACGTGAGACCATTCACACAGCTACAGTGAGACCATTCAACAGCTACTATGAGACCATTCACATAGCTATTGTGAAACCATTCACACAGCTAGCGTGAGACCATTCACACAGCTACTGTGAGACCATTCACACAGCTACCGTGAGATCATTCACACAGCTACTGTGAGACCATTCACACAGCTAACGTGAGACCATTCACACAGCTACTGTGAGATCATTCACACAGCTAACGTGAGACCATTCACACAGCTACTGTGAGACCATTCACATAGCTATTGTGAAACCATTCACACAGCTAGCGTGAGACCATTCACATAACTAGCATGAGATAATTCACACAGCTATGGCCGGGAATTAAACACTTGTCACCGGGGTTCACAGCCACTGTGCTGCCACCGAGTAAAACATATCGTGCAATAAATCAGGACTATAAATCACGCACACCACAGCCGCAGAAATTAATGGAAGGAGGAAAGCAATGGTGAGGTTTGCTGGCATCAACAGTATTGGTCACAATGACCTGTTCGTCTTGACATTGATGATCATTTTCTCTTGAAGAATAAAATGACGAACTATGATTAACCTCATCTTGTGTTCAAAAGGGACAGATATTTATTAAGTAAAATGCAAAGGTGCAGCCCTGACTGCTTGCCAGAGCCATTACTGGCAAAAGGGCCTCCAATCGAGTGAGCTCTAGACAGCCCCATTAGAGGCTATTGGTTGGCCGACGCTTCCATGCTCTTTTTAAAGTAATTGTTTTACAAGATAAACAATCAGCTGGTTTCACGTCCAAAACGCAGCGCAAGTGCACACACTTGCATATTCCACCGGACCAGCGCAAATGATCAAACGCCTGCAGTTGTAATTTCCACAATAGCACCAGATCAAATAATTCTCATTAAAACATTTATTCTTAAGCTCGTGATCACGACCATCATCAGTCAATGCTCTATCAACGCTGGATGAATGCCTCCCCAAAGGCGTCACCATCTCTCGTGGCCTTGCGATGCCACCATCCACATGGCTCCCGCACTCGAAGCGAATCGTATCGCTCCGTCTCCTCTTTGGCGAGTTCCCGCCTCGGGCTGCCATTCCATAAAACAGCCTCGTCCATCAGCCATCGACACTCACAGTGAAGAGTCCTGCCCAAGCCCCCTTTATCCATGCTCCATGTGTTCCTCTTCCCACCTCTTCGTGTCAACTGCGGCACTGAAGTCTCCATGCCTCATTGCACACTTTTCATCTTCTGTTCCATTTTCTTTGTCAGTGTCCCCGTGTCCGATTCATTTGCCACAATCAATGCTACGAATCACTTACGCCATTTTTTTCATGAAGTGTATCCTAAAGGCAATGGGTTCAAGTGAATCCCCTGGCAACTAGAAGGCTGCTACCGTGCACCGTAATGTCAATGAGTGATCCGGGCTTTATTTGAATCGCGATGCTTCATTGAATGATGAAAGCGAGTGCACAGTGACATCATTCCCACTCAAAAATGGTAAAGGTTCAGCCCTGAATTTACTCGTACAAACCACTGCTGGTGGATGGGTCTACACTAACTGGAGCTCTAGAAACCCCTATTTGGCCTACTCTTCCACATACTGTAAGAGGTGGGAGCACTCATGCTTTGCCCCAGAACACTGCAAACTATAACCCGATGGCAGACTCCGTGTCCTGATCATCTCCTCCTCAAGGAAATGTAGCCCGTACACAGGAAGTTCGAGGTCATACCGCTCTTTAGAAGCAGGAAAAGCAAGTGCAGCATTATTTATTTATCCCTTGACATATCATTTCATTTCCCAACCATTTTCGAGAAGATGCAGCAATGTGGGTGAACGAGCAGCAGTGCACATCACACATCAGGAATCGGGAATGGTTTCTGGGCCAGTGGCGATTATTAATAGCCACCGGGAGTCTTGTGGTCTAGTCCACGATGTATTATTGAGTAGCTCTGTGATGGGTCTGGTCACGGTGAGCGGTGAGAGTGTGCCCACTGACCTACTGTTTGGTAACTTAAAACGTAATGTCTGTGTAGTCAGTGCGACCATCCACATTTGTTTTTGCGTTCGCCACGCGGTGACGGCGGTGGACATTTTACACCAAAAATTACTGCCATTATCCCTCTACCACAAGACTGGCACATTTACAAAGGTATCATTTTAAAAAGCCAAACTTATTTATCAAATTATGAATAATAAAGCTGAGACTTAGATCCGTCTTTTTTTTCGATGGGGATCTCCAAAGTCACCCTCTCGTGGAAACCCTTTCAGCCAGCAGTGGCATGAACAAGTAATCGCAGGGCTGCCCCTTTCACCTTTAATGAGCATTCGAGAGGAAATCACTCCGGATGAGAATGGAGATGCATAGCGACCTGGCGTTTGGTGGTTGAGACGTCTGAGTTGGACTGGATCCGAGTGGTTGGGTGTCGGGATGTCCTTGTTGCTGGGAAAGCCCGTGGCTCCTCCCTTTCCTGCTTGGCCCTCCCGGCGCTTTCTAGATGTGGGTTCATCGTAGAACGCACGCACGCACAGACAGACACGCACGCACGGACATGCAGGGGCACGCACGGACATGCAGGGACACGCACGCACGGACAGACACGCACGCACGGACATGCAGAGGCACGCACGCACGGACGCACGGACATGCAGGAACACACACGCACGGACGCACGGGAAGACACGTGTGCACGGACAGACATGTATGGACAGACATGCACGGATAGACACACACACACACAGGCACGCACAAGAGGGTGAATTTAATACGAACACGAATACCCAGAGGCTACGTTATGGGCCGCAGAGGTCAGTGCAGTAAGAATCCACCGTTGTGCTGTACATCTATTCTTCCGCATCTATGAGATATCTGAACCAGTCCCGAGTTCCCCTTAACTTCCCCATTTCACCGAGCACCACCGACCAGAGTGGTGAAGTATGGTTACATATACCCCCCCCCCCCCACGATCAGCGCACTGTGGGGAGGCCATAATCCAGCAGTGTAAAGATCTATGCACACACAACAACAGCCACCATTCGCCACTAAGTGGTGATGACATCACCACGGCGCTTGTGCCACGTGAAGTGCCATGGGTTGACTGCTTGAGATGACCGGCAGATGCACCACCTGTGCCCCCCCCCCCACTACTGTGCCCACTTGCTGTGCTTTAGCCGCCCGGCGATCTGCTCATGCACAGCATGCACATGCAACGACGCACAGCACAGCAACTCCTGCATAGCCAACGGGTATGGTGGCATCATCACCACATTGCGTACGCCGGGCTCGGCGTACTTTGAAACCATAGGAGGCTAAGGGTCATGGCGGTTGTGGGGTTTTTAGATTGGCACGAGCATAACACACGTAGGCAAACACATGGACACACGAAGAGCCACACACACGCATGCACGCACACAACCTCTGAAACAAGCACGAAAAAGGATGCACACGAACGGCTTCTGCAAAGTCATCCAGGCACGCGCTCGTTCCCTGCAATTAACGGAAACGCTCGTGGGACGCCGCGCACGTAAGCACAGCAGCGGGCAACGTCCGCAGAGCGCCAAGCGTCCGCGCCACCACTCCCCATCGCAAATTTGCGGAACGCCGGGGTAAACATGACGAAGCAGCCGAAAGGGAGCGGTTTCGTCAGCCCGGCACCGAACGCTGAAGCTTTAGAACAGCCGCGTTGAAGCCGTTACGTGAATTAATTGTGTTCTTTCATTGCCGCCGCGGCACGCGTGTCCAGCAAAGCACCTTGAAAGGTGGGCGTTGTTTGCACGTGTGCGTGGCCGTTTGTTGCCATTGAGTTTCTGTGAACATCTGTCAGCAGGGAATGCTTTTATGGGCGAAATTTGAGTCGAGGGAGGAACTCATTCACCGTGCATCGCTTACATGGCTTAGCTCCGTTAGTTTATGAATCCTCTCAACTCAAGTGGATTGCATTTTTCAAGTGTGCCCAGCATGCTGTGGTTCTAATAATGGCAAACCGATGGAATGGAATGTTCTCTCCTCTCTTTACACACGCAGGTGCGCTGAAACACACACACAGATGCACACGAAGACAGGTACACACTAAGCTAAACAAAACTTTTTTTTTTATATTTTACCAGGTAAGGCCCTCTGAGCTATACAGCTCTTTTACAGAAGCGCCGTGGCCACAAATGATAGCTCAACGAAGTGGCTTATCACGTGGAAATCTATCGCAGCCATATACTCGACATGTGTATTTCTAAATGTGGAGGGAAAAACTGGAGGACCTGGGGTAAAATCTACGCGACGACGGCGAGTACATGCAAACTCCAAATACAGAGGCATCAGGGTCGGGATCAAACCACCTACTCATGTATGCCAGGCGAGGCAGTTAACATCTCGCCACCGAGGTGCATTCTCGCCACAAACAAACCAGCAAAATGTAGTCACACAGTAAATGATATAATACAAACACTACTATCACTCATATGTAAATTCAGTGGCAGCATGAATATGACAATGATGATGATGATGTGGTAAAAACCCATAGCGGCATCGCCCCCTACTTGGCGACTGCCTGCCTGTGACGCACAGCGCCTCCGGGATAGCCTCGTGCAAATAAGAATGGCGCAAATATCATATGTACAAATTATTTTTTTTATGATTGTGAATTCTTACCTTCCTGGCTCACTGCCCAGCGATAATGAAAAAAGAGCACACAAGTGAATAGGCAAAGCCCATTAGAATAACAAAGCAATACTCTGTTTACTTGAAATTATTAAATGATGCATTAAACACATGCAGTGCAATGCTCTGTGAACCCTTTTTAAAAAATAAATGATTAACATTAAAGTAAGCCATGCGGTGTATGTTCAGGAGGCACATATGGAGAGCAGACCGGGAACACACACGTACAATCAAGGTATTGCATGCACAACCCATAGGCCCCAATGGCCTTCTGGAGGTGGCTAATTTCAGCAGCAATGATTAAGCACACGGAAACTCGAGACCAGCTTCAGCATGAAGAATCTCATCAGCAGAGTCAGGCTTGCTGGAATCAATGTTGGTGAACTGCCAGATGTTAAAATAAAGTACTCTTTCTCTCTCTCTAGGGCATCGGTCCAAGTCCGAAGCACGGTTGTGCACACAACTCAGAACAATTGTTAGACGAATGGACAGGAAAGGAGCAGCAATGGCACGATAGGACAGTCGCGCGGACCACGGGGGACAATGTAGCTGCGTGTAAACGTGCTCGTGGGTTCAGGTGCCTCATCGGAGGCCTTCCTAATTCATTTCGTAACCCATTCGTCATGTAAAGTGACACGCAGTGGTCATGTGTTCAATGAGCACAATAAGTTCCTTTTATATAAAAATGTTGAATAAAAATTTGACAGTAAGGCATTATGTCAAAAACAGTTGAATTTCTTCGGGCTAGCAGACCGCCAGAAAGGATTTTTATATAACTTACAAATGACACATCACAGTCAGGGCCACTAAATTTAATCGAGCAACATCCCGGGTGCTTAAATTTAAGTGAGATGGTGCGGGGCAGTCCCCGCACTGGCTCGCTGTCGGGGCCTTAATTTCCACTTCAAAAAGAAACGTTTGTAAGGCGTCCGATACGCGGCACAATATGCAGCAAGGACAAATTCATTTCCCATTGTGGCCGATGCGTGGCCCTAATCCAATTAAATCTGAGCTTGGCAATGAGACTCTAAAGCGACAGAGGCAGCACAGCAAAATGGGTCAATTTGTAGCCTGCCACGGTTGCAACCGTTCCCGAACAATAAAACACCCACCTGGGTCTCTGCGACATGCGCCTGATGAACGAGACACCATTCCCACATTCGCTTTATCTGAAGGGCCGCCCCGACTCCCTAACTCTGCCTAAACGATCCCCTTTTCTCAAGTTCAACGGAGATCTGACACCCGCCCAGCCTGCGCCGTTTACTCTCCCCCCCCCCCCGTGTTGCCGTGTGCAGCACCGGGCGCATGACGCGCTCGTGGCTTGTTTGCGTACGCACGCTGCTGCGCTGACATGCGTGCTGAGTGAGTAGGTACGTGACAGTGACGAGCGGCAAACCACGGGGACGTGCGCAGGTGTGCTCCGGCAAACCAAGGCCTTCCCGGCCCAAGGCGGTCCATCAAAACTGTTTTGCTCAGTGGGTAGGTCGCTCTCTCTCTCTCTCTCTATTGCTACCAATGTCTGGGATTCTCGTCCGTTGGCAGTTGGCAATCGCGTGACCCTCCACCTGTTCAAGTCCAGGCTCTAGACTTCCCTCTTCTCTTCCGTCTTTGACCGACCGTCTCTCTCCCCAGTGAAGTCTTTCCGTCCGCACTTCTAGTAACACGTCATCTCAATTCCCCCTCTGGGCAGCAGAGTCACGCCCATGGTTATTTGCTCTCGTCAAAAAGTGAGTTACCCGAACAGACGAGTAAAACGCCTTCAGTCTATCGAGATGGGAAACGCTTCGCTCCGAGTCCGTACGGCGTCCCCGGCCGCCCGACGTACGGCCGCTTCGTTCGACCCGAATCTGCGCCATCGATCGCAACCGGTGCACACGACCGCGCCGCGTACCTCTTGTAGAGCAGGATGCCGATGACGACCAGGATGATGATGAGCACGGCGATGACCGGCCCCACCACCCACAGCAGCCCCTCCTCCTCCTCGCGCACCAGCCCCAGTGTGTGCACGTCCAGCAGGGCGGGCTCCGAGTAGGGGCTCGTCACGTAGACGGCCTGCACGCCCGCGAGGGAGGGGAGGTGAGGAGGACGAATATGAGGACGAGGATGAGGGGTGGGGGATGAGGAGGAGGGGAAGGAGGAGGGGAAGGAGGAAAGGGAGGTGGAAGATGAGGAGGAGGAGGGGGGAGGGGGGAGGAGGAGAAAGTGCAAAGAGCAGAGGATTGGGTCAAGCGTCGCGCTCCACGTGTCCAACGCACGATCCCGAGACCGTAGGTCACGCTCGCTTGGAGGTCTCGCGTCAAGACTGTGTGAGTCCCATCACTAAAAATCCGGCGAGAGACCCCACTGATGCGAAACGCCTCTCTTACCCAATGCTCAGCGGGTTCATGGTGCACAACATTCAAAACATCAGCACGGAAGCTTGGGGAAAGAAGCAAAGTAGTGTGACCTTAAAGAAGACACGTTTCTTCTTCAGGTCTCTGCTCAAGTACAGACGCAGCTGCCTCCATCCCACTCGATCCCACCAATCCAACCCCCCTTCAGCTGATGGCACTGCACTCCATGCTAGGGTCCTTGAGCTTTGGCTCGGGAAGGGCAGCTGGAGTGGTTCTCCTTACCTCTCTTAACAGGTTTCGGTTACACAGTTACCGGACAACAGTGGAACACCAAACCCTGGGTAACAGCCCGTCACCCAGATTTAGAGACTCAAAGTACAAAATAATAATTTTGATAAAAGGTGCCGGTCCAACTTTAATAACTGTCCTCTGTATATTCATCATCATCAGCCATGATCAATCAACTGCTGGACGAAGGCCTTCCCAAGCGGCCACCGCCGCCACCGCTCACAGGATCCTGCGACGCAACATCCCTCCCACGGCACCTTCCGTCAACTCTCACGCGACGAGGGCGCCCCACCGCACCGGCTCGCTGGCGTTGACGGCCGCAATGAGGAAGAAGGTGTAGTCGCGGCCGGGCTCGAGCCGCCGGTTGTAGAAGCCGTCGTAGCTCCGCTCGTCGCCCAGCGTGAACTCGGGCGGGAGCGACGCGAGCCGCGCCGCCACGTACGGCGCCCACGCTCCGTCTCCGCCGCCGGCCGATCGTCGCCGCCGGCGCTGCCACCGCCGCTGCCTTTGCCACCGCTGCCGCCGCCGCTGCTCCCGCCGTTGACGCCACCGGTCGCGGTCGTCGCCGTCGGCGGCCGGGACCGGGCGTGGGAAGTCGAGGGCCGAGCGAGGTCGGCGGCGGATGGCGCTAACGCTGCGGCGGTCGCGCAGCGTGTCGAGCAGCTGCCGGGGGATGCACGGCGGGCGGGCGGGCGGGCGGGCGGGTGAGCGGAAGGAGAAATAGGCGTGGGGTGGTGGGGGAGCCGGCAGGCAGAGGTGGTGGTGGTGGGCGGGCGGCTAGGATGCAGCACGGCCGCAGGGAAATTATTCGGCCGAACATCGCGAAAGGACGCGAGTCCAGGTAGAATGAAGAAGGTCGGTCACCCCGTCTGGCACACAACGTTCTTTGAAAAAATGCGTACGTCCGCCTCTAATAATTTAAGTAGCCCCAAGACACACGCGACTGGGAACGTCAACTTCATATCCCCCGAACGCCTTATTAACGGAGATTCTGCCTGCGTGCTCCGAGCATGGACTTAGTGTTCGCGTTCCCACAGCACGCGCGAGCAGCTTGCACGTGACATCTGCACCTCCGATCACCGTGGTTGGCTACGTATATCGCGAAAGAAGTTCAACATATTATTGGTTCTTTCGGTAAAGTCACGTAGAAGGGAAACAATAAAATAATAAAAAATATAAAACAATAAAATTCTCACGACGTTTCGACTGCAACACAAGCAATCATCATCAGGTGTGAAAACCACAGCAAGAAAATTTGAAAAAAGTGGCGTTTTTTTTAACGTTAGTACCACGGAGAGCGATTTTGGCAGTTCAGATGGACGAGTCCATCTATGTTCGGAAAAGAGGAGGGGGGAGAGGAAGATAATGGACTGCGGTCTGAAAGTCACCATAAGCGTGAACACAATCAATTAAGACCCGAAATGGTTCATCAAATCCTTCCAATGATTGCTAAGCCAGAATCCATCTTCTCTGTTGAAATTGTCTCTGTGTTTGTATATGTGGATAGCCTCATGAACGAATCTCTCATGGTAGCCAGATGGCTTGCAGAGAACCTCTGTCTTGGAGAAGTCAATGCCATGTGAGCCCACTGAATTATAACAGTGATCTGCCACGGCCGAGGTGTTGGTCCTACCGTGTTTTAGGTCTGCTTTGTGTTCACGGGTACGGTCCAATACATGTCGTTTGGTTTCTCCTTTATGATTGCTGCGAACTAGATTGCTTTTGTTTTCAAACTCGATTGTTCACCTTTCCTGTACACTTTTGCACTGCCTGTCGAGTTTTTGTATCGTTTGTCATTGTAACTTTTTGACCCCCGCGCACCGACTGGACATCAGCGAAAAAGAGCTTTGTAGCCCATCGCATTCCTCCAGTGTAAACATTCTGATTCTAAGAGGCACAACAATACATCTCTTGCAAGATGCTCACAACTCTCTTTGTTTCTGTTTTGTGACACATATATCTACAAATGTAGTATCCTCTAAGGGTCATTTAAGATGAGGTATGGAAAACGCGAGAGGCACGGCCGGGCCAAGGGAGCCGGCATGGCTGCCTTGAGAGGCCTAATAGCCCTCTTCACTTCGCACGAAACGTTCAATTTAATAACCCCCGCTCTCACCTTGTCCAGCTCCATCTGGTCAGGCGTGTCCCAGGGGATCTCTGCGCGATTCCCCATCCTCTTCAGGGGCACCACCACCAGGTAGTAAGCCCTGCGTGTGCGCACGCACGCACACAAAGATCCCCCCGTATAGCCTTTAGCAGACTGTCGGGCCAAAGTGCTGTTCACGAGCAACTGTGAAGGCCGGTACGGCACACGAGGTGGTGGGTGGGCAGCTCCACACCCGGCCGCCTTTGTCTCCCCAGTGGCGATGTTTACACATCGCACCAGGTACTCATTTTAGAGGCTGAGTCGACTTAGGGGAGGCTCAGGATCGGTTCAGATGATTGTCACTGGTGTTGGTGGCCATGGGCGGGAATCGAACTCGTGTCACCGGGTTCGTAGAGCAGCGTGCTAACCGCTATGCTACCGCTCCCCCACCTGTACACAAAGAAAACGGAAACAAACATCCCCCGTATAGCCTTCAACAGATTGTTGGGGCCAGTGCTGTTAGCGAGCATCGCCTATGAGGACCGGCACGACATACAAGGTGGTGGATGGCCAGCACCACGCCTGAATGCCTTTGTCTCCCCACACAAACACACACATACGTTCAAGTGCGAGATCAGGTGATGTGTGCCACTGATATGAAACGTCAATAACACAGTGAACCACAAACTCATATATAGATTCATAGGTCCCACAGACTCGGTTAGGAATAACAGAGGAGAGCCCATCGACTTACAAAGGAAAACCCATCGACCACCACAGGACTCATAGCCTAACATTGAATTAATAAGACAAACATAGGACCCAAATACTTTTACAGTGGTGTGCTGATTAAAATTGTCTGCGATCGGATGGAATCTGTCACGTGTAGCTTATTTGAACTCAAAAAGTAATTCACCGCATCCTCAATGCATGTATTTGAGAAAACATGAAAGTTATATCCTGTGAATGTTTGTACTGATTTGCAGGATGAAAGGTTTTTTGGACAGTCGTGAACACTTTTATCAATCCTATCAGTATGGCAATTAAAAAAACATTTGTTTGAATACTGCTCCACTTCTTGGCATAAACAAAGGGAAAGAGAAACCCAGCTTCATATCAAACGACCTCTTGCAAAACTAAAAAAAAATCCATGCACTTGTAGATAACTGTCCAACGCGGCACAACAACTTCACGTCCACACACAGCGCCGCACAGAGATGCCCTCCGAGATGCGTTTGATATTTTGTGTGGCGTTCGACTATTGGCCAGGGAGAACCCTTTGCTTGTTTGGCTTTTCCCTTTTGATTCATCCCGGCTCACAGGCGAAGGTCAAAGTCATGAGCCCTCTGCCTCTCCTTTTAGGGATGTCAATAAACACCTCCGATGAGCAACGCCGGCTTGATTCAACCGTGGCCACATGGGCCTGGCACTTTTACCTGTGCGTCACTGTGGGAACACTCCGTGCGCGTCCGTCCGCGGCTTGCGCGTGTGTGTGTGTGTGTCTATCACGAGTGCGCGGTGCCGTGTGGTAATCGGGCTGCAGCGCACAAAGAAAAAAAATTCCTCGTGTAGCCTTCAACAAACTGTTGGGGCAAGTGCTGTTAAGCGTGATGGCAAACACCATGCCAGGGCTGCCTTCGTTTCGTTCTCAGTGCTGATATTTACACACTGCACCAGGTAAGCGTTAAGGGCTGAGTCGACCTAGGGGAGGCCCAGGACTGGTTCAAATGTTCGCCACTGTTATGGGTCGTGAGGTGAGCGGGAATCGAAACTCGGTTCACTGAATTCTTAGCACGACTGCTCCTGGTCGAACACCCTAAAACAAATACACATGTATACAACATAGACAAAGATCCCCCGTATAACCCACTAATAGTACTGTTGGGGCAAGTGCCGTTAGCGAACACCTATTAAGGCCGGCACGGCACACGAGGGGGTGGGTAGCCAGCACCATACTCGGCCGCCTTTGTCTCCCCAGTGGCGACATTTACACATCGCACCAGGTACTCATTTCAGCCTGAGTCGACCTAGGGAAAGCCCATGACTGGTTCAGATCATCACTGGTGTTGGCCAGGGGACAGGAATCAAACTCGTGTCGCCAGGTTCGTAGCGCAAGCGGACTACCGCTACCGCTCCCCACGTATACGCAAAGACAAAGATCCCCCGTACGGCCCTAACAGAATGTTGGGGCAAGTGCTGTTCGCGACCACGTTTTACGCGCACGCGTACACACACACGCACACACACACACGGACGCACGCGCACGCGCATCAACCTCTGCAACGTCGCCTCTGGCGCAAGCGCACTCGGGCGAGGAACGGCGCGCGACCCACCGGATGTGCAGCTGGTTGGACACTTGCGGCAGCGACACCGTCACGCTGCCGTCCGCCGACACCTTCCCGAGGAAGGTGGGACGCGCTCGCAGTGTGTCGGGCGCCGTGCGCACCGTCACCACCTGCTGCAGGCCGCCCGCCGCGCTCCCCCGGTGGGTGAGCCCAAACGAGTACTCCGTGTCCGGCGAGAGGTCGCTGATGAGCCGGTGCGTGGCGCGCTCCTCCATCTCCACGCTGCGGTTGTTGTTCACGAGGATCTGGCCATGGCACGCCGGGAGCGAAATCGAGATCAACTGTCCGGAGCGTCAACTAATTTTTTTTTATATCCTTAGTTTTATTCTTAGTTGTTTCTCTTCAACGTGACTTTACCGAAAAAAACTAAGAATATGAATTACTGCAGTCACGAAAGCTTTAAATCAATTTTTTTTTTTACTTTAACAGGTAATGCCTGCCGAGTCGCAAAGCTTTTTTTTTTGCTTGCGGAAGCGACCTGGCCACAAATGACGCCTCGATCAATTGGCTCGCCGCGTGGGAATGTATCGCGGCCAAATACTCTGAACGCGTGACGTTGATTTTAAATGTGGCAGGAAAAACCTGGAAGACCCAGAGCAAAATCCACGCGACCCCGGGGAGAACGTCAAAACTCCAAATATAAAGGCGTCACGATTGGGATTGAACTCCTCCTGTACACCACGCAAGGTAGTTAACATCTCTCGCCACCGCCGCACCTGAGCGCCGGCCCCTCTCTACTCTGCACCAAATCCTGCAGCTGCTGCGCGGGGGAAACACGGCCTTCAAGATCTGCTCAAACAGTGTCGCGCCATGTGATGGCCGTAGGTCTTCGCCTTTGGCCATCAGACTCATGGAGACCACTCCAATGCCTGTCAAGGTAAAACCGGCCCCTCCTCTGTCCTGCAAACGCGTTCCACCCAGTGGAACGGATTGTTTGCCCCCTCATCTTATCCACAACACTCACCCAGCAGTATTCTCTTGCTGGACCGCTGTGCTGTCTGACCCTTTTTGTTTTTACGTCACAAAATTCCAAGCACCCGTCCCTGACACCTGTGCCCAAAATGCTAAGGCAACTTCTTTTCGAACCGCCGAGTTAGAACTCGGCGGTCAGTTGCATGAGTTCCCTTAAATCGGTGTCAATTAAGGGGGATTTATTTTCTTGTTTACTTAAAGTGTTTTATGCTACCTTCCACAGCTCTCGGATCCTTTTGAGGCACAGTGCACACCTGGTTCAATTACCCTTTTCTGTAGACTCAGACTTGACCCGTCATCCCTTACAAAGTGCCTTTCAGAGACCATCCTAAAAGCTGCTCTGATTAAGCAATATTGCCTTGACCTGCTCTTCACAGTCTCCTCGACTATGCCTGAAGCAGGGAGAGGAGAACAAACGAACGAACGCCGCTTTGCTTGCTTCGCCAATAGCGATTGGGCAAGTGCCTTAGAGGGGTTTTTAGAGAGGATATTCGGGCCTAATCTTCTGCACTGGGCCACATGGAAGAGGTGGGAGTAACCCCACCGTCACGTGTCCTGCCGATCGACCAACAGCTTTGAGAACACCCATGTCCACTGCTGGGTGGACAGAGGCTAGGGGCGGAGGATCGATGAAACTCGTCCCATTGGTCTCAACTGCCGCGCCCGGGAGGCTGGGCCGACGTGACCCCTGGATTTGCAAGTCCGCTGCCCTGACCGTTACGGCACGGCGCGGCCGTTCTTTTTGATTCGTGAGGTTTATAGAAATGTGAACGCATCTCAAGCTGCTGCACGGAAACAGAGGGCACGTTTATTTTATAGAGCCAGGTTTGTCAGTCAGCCCATAGGCGAAGGGAAAAACAGCCTTGAGCTAAATTTGAACAGGGGCAGGGAGTCGACAGCACGGATGGTGTTGGTAGGGAGTTTGCTCTGCTACACTCGTAAGCTCAGGCTTAGTTGGCCAATGCGATGCCATCATCACAGCACAAACACCACTCCAAGTGGAGAGCGGTGCATTAAAGGGCAAAGGGGATTAGTGTGGGACTTGGAATTAAGCGACAGGAGGCTCACCCGGAACGGCGTGCCGTAGGAATCCGGCGTCTCCCAGGAGAAGAGAACGGCCGTCTTCATCACGGCCTTGACTCGGAAATTTTTGGCAAAACCTGCTAATGTAAAACAAACAAACGCGGAGGCCAAATCGCTCACGACACTGCCTGACGTTCGCACGCTCGATCTCTCTCTCTCAAGCCCAACGATCGCCCTCAGCGCCACGACGCGCGTCCCAACAAAGATGGGCACACGCTGGCATTTTTTTTCACCAAAAACGCCGGCCGGAGCGCCAACGTGTTATTTTGTCCGTCTCACCGTCCCCGTCGTTATGGCTGGAGATTGCCCCCCACTCATCTTCCTGCCACGTGGCTTCACTCCCACCTGCCTGCATTTCCAGATTTAGCATGCGTGGACAAACGCTGCACGACTATATATTGGTCGGGAAGGGCAATAGGCCGGTGGACTTAAAACACATTTCATTGATGTGTGGAGAAGGCAGACAAAAAACAAAACGGATGTAGCAATGCCGCGACATCATGTTCCGCGATACTGTACGATATGAATTTTCATTACGTTATAATTACTGCGATAGAAGTTTCCTATAACTTAGCCACTATTTGCCATTTTTATTGCACTGTCTTTGTGCTTTGCTGTACATCCACTTACAAAAACTGTAATTTTATTTCAATGTGGTTTACTCAACACAAGCCTAACATAATTATTCCAATTATTGCATCTAGAACGCTTATATTACGCACAGTGTGTAAGGCATAGAGTACGATTTATGAAATAATCAGACCAACGGAAATCACAACACGACGTTATTTTGGAAAACGGAAGATACGATTTATCACAGCGACCCTGCCCAGGATGTGTACCTCTGCTTCCCGTGAGGCTGGCTGAGAGCACAATTAAGTCAGCAGTCCGGCTGTCTGCCCGTCTGCCTGTCTGCCCGTCTCTATGTAAAGTCAGAGGCGGCTATTGAATGCAGCCATTACAGACTAACAATAAATCCGTGTTGTCAATTAGAGGCTCAAGGCCACTCCCGCCAAGGTTAACAGAAAAGGCTCCACATCTCTTCTCTCTCTCTCTATGCCACTTCTGTGCAACGCTCTCGGGGGGTTGCATGTATTATTCAAGAGGAGGGGAGTTGCCTGTAATTGAAACACAACTTCACATTGCTGCAACACTGTTTGTGTGCCCTAATACACGTTTCGTCAGCCAAGCACACTTGGAAACTCTACGCTTTGCGAGGACAAAGACAAATAAATTACATATTTGGAAAAATTATTACACGTTCAAATTGACGTGTAATACATTCAAGTGAGTTGGGGGAGTTGGGGGAGGGGGGGCGGTGGGAGGGGTGGGGGGGGGTTGTGCAGCAGTGATTGGCGACCTGAGTTAGTTCCTGGCACATGGCCCGAATAATCAGCATTGACCAATGTCTGGATATATGGGGAAGGGCGTTCGAGACCTGCCATTGACCGAGACCTTCGTGAGAAATCCTTGGCTGCCGAGGTGTAGAGCGCATGAAGGATAGCAGATGGGATAAGAAGGGAGAGGTAGGGGAGTGTTAGGAGAGTTGCGTGGACAGGCATAGAGTGTGATGATAGGGGAGAGAGGTAGGAGAGCGTGCGTGGATGGCAGAAAAGTGAGATGAGAGGGGAGAGGTGTGTGGCAGGCGGTAGAGTGAGCTGACAGGTGAAGGTAGGAAACCGCGTGGATGGAACCAGGGTGACATGAGATTAGTTGAGAAGTTGGGATTGTGGTCTGGGATGTGTAGACCTCATGGACTAATTTCTTTGTTGTGATACCTCTATCGTTGCTTGTGCTTTTTGTTTAGGTGCCATTTCTAAATTTGTTAATTAATTTTAGATTTTGCTTGGTAGTATGTATGTTTGTTGAACTTCTTTCGCACTGTACGTAGCCAACCGTGCTAATCGGAGGAATTAATTTGCTTGGTAGTGGCTGTATATAATGAATGTAGATGATTACAAGATGCTATTAGCATGAATGACGCTACATATAATTAAAGCAGCATTATTTTTCTTCTTATTATTATTCGAGAGGTGAGAGGTAGCAAGATGAGCGTCCCCCCCTCCCTTCCTGCCACGGCTGCGGCCGCGTGCCTCCTGGAAACCCTCCGGCCCGCTCTCACCCTGATCGACGATGGCCGTGCGGAAAGTGTTGCTGGGTCCGAAGGGTCCGGCCCCCTTGGCGGTGTGTGCCTGCACCTTCACCACGTACACCGTGTCCGGCTTGAGGTTCGCGAGCGTGGCGCCGGCGCTCGCCGACGACACCGACGCCTCCTCGCGGTTGCTCATCTCGCGGTACGCCAGCGTGTAGCGCACGATGCGCCCGTTCTGCCGCGCCAGCACCGGCGGCTCCCAGCGCAGCTGCGCCGCGCTCGCGCTCAGCCACGCCACCACGAGGCTCTGCGGGACGCCGCTCGGCACGCCCTCGGGCGTGGTGACCCGAGCCTCCCCTTCCTCGCCGAGGCCCGCCCGGTTTTTCGCCGCCACCCGGAACACGTAGGTGGCGCCCTGGTGCAGGCCGGTGATCGTGTGGCGTTCCTGGCGCTCGTCGAACTCCAGCGAGGAGAGCGGCCGCACGTCCTCGCGGCCGTAGGAGAAGCGGTAGCCCTGCAGGGCGCCGTGCGTCTCGTCCGGCGCCTGCCACGTGACCAGCGCCACCGTGGACTCCGGCAGGGACACCTGCACGCTCGGTCTGTCAGGCACTGGGGGAAGGACATCAGAATCAGAATGTTTATTTACACCGGAGGAACCCAACGAGCTACAAAGCCATTTTTCACAGGTGTCCAGTAGATATGCGGCGCTTGTAAAACACGAATGCCATTGCGCCTCCGATTCGCACGGTTGGCTATGCACGGTGCGAAATAAGTTCAACATACATACATCGTCGGCGCGTCTGCTGTGGATAGTCAAGCATGCGGCTGTGAACCCAGGTATTTTTTGTTTGTTTATATTTCTTTACGCGTGCTGCCAAAATGCACGCGAGGCGCTGGAGCGGTCAAGGGGAAAGATCCCAGGCCGGATGTTTGGTAAGTCTCAAGGGCAGATCCTGGAGGTCGTTGCGTTCACTGGAGCAGCAGTCGCAGCGTCTGGTTATAGGGGAGCGACTTGCGGCATCGTCGACGGCTTTGGCCATGACATCTTGAGGTTTAAAATAAAGGTCCACTGCTGGTACAACATGTTACGGAAAAAAACAAAAACCAGTTGTGCGTTGGATTGAATGTGTCAGTCGTTTTTCATCGAAAAACAACAACATTTTGATTGAAAGCTTTTGTGACTGCAGAGATTCATATTCTTGGATATTTCGGTAAAGTCACCACGTAGAATGGAAACAATAAAATAATAAAAATATTAAACAATAAAATTCTCACGACGCTTCAACTGCAACACAAGCAATCATCATCAGGTGTGAAAACCATCAGGTGTAATTTTCACACCTGATGATGATTGCTTGTGTTGCAGTCGAAACGTCGTGAGAGTTTTATTGTTTTATATTTTTATTATTTTATTGTTTCCCTTCTACGTGACTTTACCGAAATAACCAAGAATAACAACAACATTGTTAGGGTAAAAAATAGTTTTCCCACTCAAGTTAGTTGCGACCAGTACTCATTTCCTGATTATAGCCCAAAGCCAGTGATGGAAATTCCACATTCCCGTGGCATAGGTGGGTCCTTCCATAAGACACATTTCAAGGACTTCACCACAAAGTGGGAGTCATTTTACCGACAGCGGAGTGATGAAAGGCTGAGTCAATTCCCAACCGTGATTTCTATTGCAGACGAGGCATTGGGCACTTTACTTCTGTGCCACACAGCCCCATCTGCTACAAATAGTAAATGATTGTCTACTGATGGTGGAGTCGCTACACAATGACAGTGCCAAGAGTCAGCGACTGTGGTGGACACGCTACGCCTCTCTGCTGCCCATAAACCCCTGGGAACTAATGCGCTCACATATTTTGCTGTTATTTCACGGGGAGAATAGCCACATCTTGCCTCCTCCGTGTACGATTCCTCCACGGTAAATTGTCTCACCCATGCACGTAAAGCTACAAAAAGATATTCCGTTAAGCCCCATAAACTATTGGGGCCACCGCTGATATCGAGAATCTGTGAAGGCCGACACGGCACACAAGAGAGGTGGGTGGACAGCACCACGTCCGTCTCCCTAGCGACGATGTTTATACACCACGCCAGGTACTTATTTGAGGCCGAGTCGACCTACGGGAGGCCCAAGAACGGTTCAGATATTCGTCGGCCGTGAGCAGCAATCGGACTTGGTGCCCCACTCCCCGTTACACACACAACAACAACAACCGCCATTCGCCACTAAGTGGCGGTGACGTCACCACGACGCTTGTGCCAGGCCATGTGCACCTTGAGGCCACGTGAAGTCTCGAACGCCCGCTGGCAGGAGGTCACGGGGCAGACCCAGGTGCCACGGGCCGACTGACTGAGATGACTGGCTGATGCACCACCTGTGCCCCCTACTGTGCCAACCTGCTGTGCTTTAGCCACCCGGCGCTCCGCTCGTTGTTGTGAGCGTCGCTCCTCCGCCCTCCGTTGTTGTTGGAGGGCGACTGCCTCCAACTGCCCAGTAGCGTCCTTCACGAGCCTCCTCCACAGAGGCCGATCTTGACACCACTGGTACCAGTCATCGGCAAGTCCACTCAGCTCCACGTCTTCCTGTACCACACCACTCCATCTCTTTTCTAGCCTGTGCCATGCCCGTTTAGCCCCCTCGATCCGGCCGAACAAAAGCTGTTTCGGCATGCGGTGGCTGGGCATGCGGGCTACATGACCCAGCCAACGCAGCCTTGCCTTCCGGAGGAGCTCACCGATGGGACCTTGCCCAGATCTTTCAAGGATTTGTGAGCTCCTCACACAATCCAGCCTGGTTAAACCCAGGATGGATTGTAGGCAGGCTAGCCTAAATGTTTCTAACCGGCGAAGATGTTCCATTAAGGGGGTCCACGTTTCGCAAGCGTAGAGAAGGGAGGGAATGATCGTGGCCGAGAAGACCTGAAGCTTAGTGCTGAGCGACAGACCAGGTAGCTTCGACACAGCGTTACGCAACCGACGAAAAGATATTGCCGCTCGACTGATTCGGAGTGAGACCTCTGCTGTTAAACTGAGGTCTCACCCCGAATCACACAGACATACACACACACACACACGTACAGACGCACACAGGGGCACAGGCTCCCCAGGACAGTGTGGCGCGCGCCCGTCGCACCTGCGGCCCCGGTGGCGATGAGCTTGGCCTTGCTGCGCGCTCCGTCCCCCTTGGCGGTGTAGGCCGTCACGGTGAAGGAGTACGTGCTCTCGGGCCTCAACCCCGACACCACCAGCTCCTGTGCGCCGCGTCACGGGGTCGGGGGAAATCGCGCGCCGGTCAATGGTTCAAGAGGTCAAGGCAAAATTGCGTTCTTCATAGCAGAGCTTTACATGAACAAAAAACCTCCGATGACAATAAAAACCCTCGGATGAATAAATACAGCTCCAGTAACTCGTGCGTGCGCAGGCCGGGCCCGTGGTGGTGGTGGTGTTGGCTACGCACGTGGCTGCCCGTCATCCAGCACTGCGGAGGCAGCAGCAAGGGTTGGTGCATCGCCATACAAATGTTGCGAAACTCCCTTCCCGTGGGTATCCAGATGTCATACCCTGGATCGCCAAGAGAAGGCGGTATAGCAGGCACGGACCAATCTCTACCTGCAAGTGCTGCGGACTGTGCAGCGATCGTGAGATGCACTTTTGCATGAATGACCCTGTGATATAAAAACACCGATGATCATTATCACGACTATAATTTCACCATTTTGTTTACGCGATTGAAAATCTTAGACTGTGCCTGATAGGAGTAGTGACGGAGTTCCACGACAACAATACCACCACCACGCGGGGCAACTCCGACAGCACAGCACAACCCCCGTAAAAAACACAAAAAACTACGCAGTGGAAGTGCGCCATGCACCCACGGAAATTCAAGACCGCACACACACGTGTACAGGCTGGTCCAGATGTCTTGCGACCACCCCCCCCCCCAAATTAATTGACCCCTAATTTTGTTTCCTTTGCCCATTCATTTATGTTTTAAATAAACCTCACTTCTTCATTCCAGATGGCTGATACGAGTTCATATACTGTTGAAGAAGGGCTTTGCAGCGAGCGTAAATGGGCTTCATGATAGATCACAAACCAGAAACAACTCGTGAAAGGTATTTTCGAAAGGATTTTTGTGAAAGAGTCAACTAAAGCAGCTCTGGCAGCAAATCTGAAATAACTAAGTAATGTTTATTCAAAACAGAAACGAATATGCAAAGGAAAAAAATTTCAGAGGTCAATTAATTGGGGGGGGGGGGGTCACAAGACATCACATCTGGACCACCCTGTGTAAAAGCATTGCCCCATGCTGGCGCGGCCCAATTTGTTCCGTTTCCGTCGCCACGCTGCAATCCCAAGCTCAACGCGACATTTAACTAGAGCCGTGCCCCAAGGGGGGCTTCCTTTCTCTGGCCACGGCTACGAAGCGTAACGTCGCGTTCACACCCAGCAGGGTGGCCTGCCACGGTTTTGTTGAATTACCCTCCACCCCCCCCACCAGGAGTGACCAAAACAAATTAAAAGCAAAGCCAAGGTTAGCGGGGGCGGTGTCGCAAGGCACCACCACCACCACCGGCGGCGGCGGCGGCGGCAGCGCAGCGGTTAGCGGCGCCTGCCACTCACCGAGCCGGTGAGTGACGAGGTCAACAGTTCAATCCCCGCAGCCACCCCGTGGTAAACTCGGCGGGGGCATTCATTGCCCGCTCCGCGCAGACATGGCAACAAAGGCAAACGCGTTCCCGATGCCCGTTGTTGTTATTACCGCCACTGCTGCTGCTGACTGCCGCACTACGAGGTTTCTTCCTCCACGACGCCAGGCCAACGTGGAAGAGTAATCCAATTTGAAAAAAACAAAATCCTCTCTCGAGCTCAGTTTCGTGAAGGCCCTTCTGCCAGAAGTGGCGTGCCCGAGGTAATTGCAGGGCTGAAGCTTTACCGTAAATAAAATGTGAGGTTTAGCGTAGCTGCTCTGCTCTCTATACCGGCTTTCGGCTTTGCGACCGTTAACGTTGAACACTGAGAATTCCACGGGTACACACTGGCCCGCTTCTGTAATCCTCATGCATAACATTTCATCCTGACAATCCTGAAAGAGCTTTAGTCTATCTTTCTTAGCGTTTTGTTAAAACACAAAGAGTAAGCAATAAAAAAAAATGTAAAGTGTAATAATATTTGCTGGATATGCATTCGACCTTCAGCGGACAGGCACGAGCTGTCAATGCAGGTCAAAATAAAACGCCGTTCTGTTTATAATATACATTAACAAAATAATCTGGGGTCATCAGCATATCGGATTTCCAGACCAATATTAATACCAGTCTTATCAAGAGGCATTTGTTCAAGCAAGACAATTCCGGGCAGGTTTAGAGTTTTATACTCTTTGGTTCTTTAGAGTTTTATGTTTGCGTGTATTATCGATGAAGGCTCTGCTGCCTTGTACGTGCTCTCTGCTTCTAGCCAAAGTCCCCAGCCAATATTCACTCAACGGGGACAGGTCGCTCTTTCTCCTGTGCTGCTTTCAAGGTCTAAAACACCACCCCCCAACACCCCCCCCCCCAAAAAAAAAAATCCCAAAAACGTTTAAGACCAATTTCTAGACCTTCGGCTGTGCCTCTCTCTCTCTGTGTATGAACTGAATAAACTAATCAAGACAGTTTGCCTCTTTTCCCCCCCATGACACACATCCCATTGCTTTTGTCTTGAGATGCGTTTGCATTTCGGCACCGTATTAATCCAAATTGTACCATGCTGCATAATAAAATAAAAAATACAGACTAACGTTATCATCGTGGACTTGCGTAACGCCTCTTTAAAGCACTTGCTTGCAGCTGTGCATAGGGCACTCATTTAAAATACTACCCCTTTATTTGTACTATTTATGATCATCATCGACATCATAACCGATCGTCGATCTATCCACTGCTGGATGAAGGACAAGCGAGGAAGTATTCGTGTTGTCCTATCGTGTGTTGGTTTGTGTTTGTTGTCGTAACGTTCTGACCTGCCCCCGCTGGGCATCTGCGCAAGAGCGCTTCAGAGCTCATCGGACTCCGCCAGTGCTAATAAATAGATTCCGACTCTTCGACGGTCTTGTGGCGGACGCCGCAATCAGGCGTCGCTCCCGCATGCGAGGCGACCTCATCGCTCCGTCCCTACGGCGGCCGCCTTCGAGAAGACGGCCGCCACCTTTCCTCTCGCCCCCATTTCCCCTTCCGCAACCGGCTCTGGAGGGACGTGAAGTGACGGAAGATTCGGCACTTCAGCCGCCTCGCAGACTGTCGCAGGCACCCTTCCCCGTCACTCTCACCTACGTGGCTCTCTCACATCTGCATGGCTCATCAACGTGGCTGTCCCCCCCACCCGCCCCCCCCCCGCTCTGCCCGTGGGCCTGTGCAAATATTTCTCTTTTTTTAACAAGTGAATGCGTAAACCTTGACGGGGCACTTAGGGATGCGCGCTTGGCAAGGCAAGATGGGGGGCGGTCGTGGGGGGAGGGGTCAGGGGCAGGATCTAAGAGAAAGACACTGGCGTATATAAAACGCCGCACAAAGCGAGCCAAGTGCAGCAGCAATTCAACAGCTGGTAAAGAAATTCCGCTCTCTTCCATTTGTTTCGCCGGTTCTTCTGTTGAGACGCGGACGCCGCTCCGCCGTAGGCCACGGTCGAAACGGCGGAATTCACGGGCGTCGGATAAATAAAGAAATGAACAAATAAAATGGCGTAGGTGGTGGTGGTGGTGGTGGTGGGGGGAACGAAGCGCAAAAAGAACAAACGCATAATGAGAAGGCGCGTACAACTACGGGGGCTCAAGGACAACTTCGGCGGCGTGGCAAGGACGAGCGTTGCTACTGGGCGCCGGTGTTCCTGCACGCTTATCGTGCCTCTGTGCAACGAGCAGCTAATCCGTACGCGTGCATATTACGCGCGCGCGTTACGTATACTCGTCCACAAAAGCTCGTCCTGGACCGCTCCTCCCAATGTCAGTGAATGAGGCTTTTGTTGTCGTGATGACTCAGCTGCATTGGCGGTGGCGGGCAAACAAAAAAAACAAAACAGAATACTCAACACAGTCGTCACTAACGCTGTGGCCCTAAAAGGAAAAGAGGTATACGTTCGTCTGTTGGGATTTTGTGGACACATTGCTCTTCACAGATGAATATGATAGTGAACCAGTGACCTCTGGATTCCTCTGCACTCCAAAGTGAAAGGAAAGTATACTGGGATGCACACCACGCTCCGAGCGATATTCTCCGCCAAAGCAAGGCCGGAGGAGACACAGAGAAGCGGACACTGCCGTCACCCCTGCCTGCCGGCCGGCCAGGCGCACACTTTCGCGGCGTTCCTGGTGGAACACGCCTGCCGGTTTCGCAAACACGGTGGTCAAATTAACGGGGCCTAATCTGGCCACATCAGCAAGGCACCGTACCCGTGGGGGTACACGGGGAACGTGGCAAATTAGTGCAATTAACTTCCCCACCTCGTCTGTGGGACTATCATCGATCCCAAAAAGGGCATTAATGGTATCACAGGCCAAATTCTGCCGATGAGACACAGCTGAGTCAAAAACTGGTCCAGGGATCAGCTTGTTAAAAACCAATGCTCCTGGCAAAGCCAATCCACTTAAAACGTTTGTAAAACCCCCTATAAGTGAGGGGCATTTACACTGCCAAATTTTTATAATCATATTTGCATACAGCCATTCACAGCAAAGTCTCAAAGGCCCTCTCGGCCAATGGGAGCCGCCGCTTACGCTGGTCAGCAGGCCACAGCAGCAGCCTGCGTCAGTATATTGCGATGTGACCCCCAATGAAAGCCACCTGCTAAGACACTGACCGGATCGTACCAATCCCTAGTGGGTGAAGGCGAGAGGGGGGGAGGGCGTGAACGTGTTGTCAGGTATGAAGCTCCCCTAGCCCGGAGCTCCCCTGAGACAGGCTTGCTCTGTTGGCTGAGGCTGAGTCACTAATAAGGACCCTGCATAAATCAACGGGGAGCGAGGAAGAAAGAACCCCCCCCCCCCCCTGGGGACATGGCACAAACCGGCTGAAAAAATTACCCTAAACATTTCGGAACCCAAACGGCCAGCCAGGTTTTTGCAGTGCCTGCCACACACACACACACAAAACAAATCTATCTGTCTATATATAAAATAAAATTCGGTTCAGGTCTGCAGCATAATCAAAGTTCAAAAATGTACCCGCCTATTTCGCAAGCTTAAAGCATCAGCCACACGTGTGAAACACACGCAAAA